ATGTCTCAAAACAAAACACAGTGAGGATAAAGCAGGATCACCACGTAAGGTGCTGCCTGGCAAGCCTGATGATATGAGTTTGATCACCAGGGCCCGGGTAGTGGAACCAGAGCTGATGCCTGCAAGTTGTCCTCTGTCCTCCACAAGCAGAATGTGAAACTGACACAGACTCAAATAAATAAGTGTAAACGGACAATTTAAATTTTAAATGTATTTAACAGGACAGTAAGGCAAAGAGCTGAGCCTCATTCCAATCCCAGGGGTGTCTAAGCATTGTTTTCCACTTGTTATTGGGACAGGGTCTCCCTACGTTGCCTAGGCTGGTTTTGAACTCAGGGTCCTCTAGACTAAGATTATTAAGTGTGTTTTATGGTACTGAGCATTCTGATGGGATGTTTTAAAGCTCCCTAGGCTTCTCCAACAAAGGATTGTATGGATTTTACTTAATAATATTAGGAATGGGTCATGAACCAGCCTGTCTCCACCTTAGGCTTAAAAACCATCTTACAGTAAAGGTAGACTAAGTTCATTCCTGTTTATGATCAAACCTCTGTTTCTCAAGGATTGGTCTATGCCCCACCTATAACCTTACCTACAAATGGTTCTGGAATGTCTGTTCCGGGAAATGGCAGCCATGTCTTTGTTTTACCATCTTGCAACCCTACGTTTGTTCCAAAAGGTTTCTAAGACTACATTGCTATCACCACCTGTTGTTATGACTACCTTGCAATCATATCTTTGTTTCAGGTGGCCATTGTTGACTAACTTGTTATGCTTATGTTCCGCACCTATAACCCCACCTATTTTGCCCACCAAGTCCATTATTTGAAACCCCCAACCCCTGAGCTATAAGACCTTGTCTTCCTCACGTCCAGTGGTGATCTCTTGAACCCCACCTTTAGGGAGTGACGGCCCATATATACGAATAAAAAAATCTTACTTTTAACTGATTTGGGTTGGAGCTGGTCTTTCTCCAACCTTTTGGAGTTGACATAGGAAGTAGGATGAGCGAGGACAAGGATTTAAGTGTTAGATCAACTCTGAAAAAGGAAATACTGTGTTGGGTAAATTCACCAAGAAGGGATGGCTGAGATACTGTTAGTGGATAGTGAATAGTGAGATGGCTGAGACGCTGTGGACTCTAAGGATTGGTAAAGTTATGGAAGGTTATAGTTAAGAAGAAAAAGGGGAGGGAAAGGATGAAAGAGAAGACAGGAACAAGGGGGGTGGGCTATGAAAGGAAAAGTATTGGCCCAGGACCCCAAGGCCAAGTTCTCAGCACAAGGAGATCTATTTGCCCCAAAGGGAGACAGGACAGGAAGTAAGAGACAAACACAGGAGATAGAGGATGGGGAGAAGGGGAAGGGAACAAAGGAGAGGAAGCTGGGATATTTTTCCTGGGGGAGATGGGGCACCACGAAATGATTCTGGATAGAGAGGAGGCAAAGTAGCCCACAGGCAGATGGTGGTTTAGGAAGGTAAAGGGAGGACTTAGTGTTTGGATGAGATGTTTAATTTTAATTGGGCATGTTAATTAAGTGAACTAAAGGGTTTTTGATTTCTGGACTTCAAAACTTTGATAACTAGACCTTGGTAGGCAGCCTCAGGAGGAGGAAGTAGCCAAGTAAGGGAATAGATCTTGAATGGCTGGTTTAGAAATGTAATCTAATGGTGTTTAGCAAGGCTGGGGGGATCAGAGAGAAGGGAAAGGCCTGCCAGAGCCATGCTCACCATGCCTGAGCTGGCCAGAGTCCCTTCAGGGTGTGTGACTGAAGGCAAAGAGTGCTTTAAAATGAATTGGATGAAGAAACAGAAACAGACCGAACTAAAACCTAACTGAACAATATCCAAACAAAAGGAAAATGGCCTTGAGACATATATGGGAGAGTTAACGGTAAACAATAGAAAGAGGCAAAAGAATGAGTTTGGAATGAATTGCTGAACTACGTTGAAAGGTGAAACTGTCAGACCCTGCTGGCACTGGGTTCCATCCAGGGTTGGGGTGGGAGGGTTGCTAATCTCCTGCAGCCTCAGTGTTCTTGGGGACCTCTGTAGCTGTGGGAGAGGGAGGCCTACTTCACAGGTGTTCTCCTGTATCGAAGCAGTCTCTCCTCTCCAGGGGATTTTGTGTTTGTTTCTAATTTTTGAGACTGAATTGGCCAGGACATCACTGTGTAGCCCCAATCTTAAACTTACGGTGATCCTCCTGCCTCTGCCTCTTGAGTGCCGTGGTCACAGGCAGACACCATCATGCCCATTGTGTCACCTGTCCTTGTGTGATAATGCACACTTCACCCACAATAACCCTCCTTCTGGAGGTCCTTCCTTTCTTCCAGGTTGTCTGGAGGTCATTTCCTCCTTCTTCCCTCCCTGCTTCCTCGTCTCGTACCTCTCTTTCTTAGGACCTCACTCACTCATCCAGTCCTAATATCTGATAATTATTAAGAGATAATAGATAATCCAAATCTCTACACTGATCAAATCCCCAACCTCCCTTTAAAAAAGATTTACTATGTGTACAGTGTTCTGCCTGCATGTATGCTTGCACGCCAGATCACCAGATCTCATTATAGATGAGCCACAAAAATGCTGGGTATTGAACTCACAACCTCTGGAAGTGCAGGCAGTACTCTTAACCTCTGAACCACTTCTCCAGCCCTCCAACTTCCTTTTTTTTTTTTTTTTTTTTTTTTTTGGTTTTTACGAGACAGGGTTTCTCTGTATTGTTTCGGAGGCTATCGGTCCAGCCTGGCCTCGAACGCACAAAGATCCGCCTGCCTCTGCCTCCCGAGTGCGCCACCACCGCCCGGCTCCAACTTCCTTTTAAAAGCTATTTTGAGACAGGTTCTCAACAAGTTGTCCAGGCATAACTTAAACTCTCTCTCTCTCCTCACTCTGAAGCCTTGGTTGGCTAGGTACCTATCAGGCGTACCAAAATTAAAGGGTGTGTCATTACATCTGACAGGATCTAATTTTAAACGCAGGTGCTCACTCTCCAATTCATGTGATTTCAGTATGCTTCCACAAATTTAAAAATGGTTACTGCCGATAAAATGTAACCCGAGTTGTGGTGGGAGTGCTCACAAATGCTGTAAGTGTAAACTGTATCCACACCTCTTTAGTGCATCTTATCTTGAACATCACAACTATTCAGGAGAAGGCTGGGTGGGAGCATCCCCTAGAGCCATGACCTTTTGTATGGTTCTTTCCGACTTTGAACCCCGTGCTCTGGTGCAGTCTGGAACTCTGACCTGCTGAGCCTGGGTCAGGAGCTCAGGCTGGAAACTGCCCTAACACCTAGGTTTTAGGTTGGCAAGCTGAGGCCAGTGGGGTGTGGTGTGTGGGTGGAGTCAGAGATGCTTATCAACACCAGCCTGAGGTGATACTACACCTGAGAGAGGTATCATCTCATTCTGGGATGCTAGAACAGGACAGGGCTTTGGCAGGCCCTGTGGACCACCAATTCCAGGCAGAGTGGTGGGGTTGTCTTGGTCTCAGCCTGTAGCTCTGAGATGCCCAAGCCTGAGCTCTGGGAAATACTTCCATAGAGCTCCATTGCTCGAGACTGGGGTTCTGTGAGCTCAGACACTGCTGGCTCTGGGACCTCATGTCGTGCAAAGTGCTGAGTTAGTTTAGGACATGGATCCCTGGACCATATCAGATGGCTATGATCCACGATGTGGTGCTGGTAAAAGGACGAGTTTTCTTCAAGAGTGCCCATGCTCTTGACCCCAGAGCATGGAGACCCCAGTCTCCAGTTTCTAGGGTTGTTTTTTAGACAGGTTCTTTTAGGGGCTGGTGTGGTAACATACAATCTCTAAATTCAGGCCAGTCAAGGCACATGATCAGATAGTCTAAAGGAAAAGGCAAAAACAAACAAAAACCCAACAATGAAAGAGTCTGGGGAGATGACTCATCCCTTAAGAGCGCTGGCTACTACTCTTCCAGAAGACTTGATTCAAGTGCCAGCGGGCACAGGGTAGCTCACAACAACCTGTTAGCTCCAGTCCCGGGGATCTGATGCTCTCTGGCTTGAGTGGGCAGCCATACCCTCAGGTGATACTCCCCCACACATAATCTTAAAAGAACAAAATGAAACCAGGTTCTTGTCATGTAGCCCCAATTGACCTCAGGTTCCTCAGGTGCTGCGTTTATTGCCATCAAGCAGAGCCAACGGAAACAGGGCATTCAAAATGTGAAATCCATTCTTGGAGATGGTGTGTGGTGCTGGGGATTGAACCCAGGACCTTACGCATAGCAGGCAAGAGCGTTAATCCTCAAGCACACTCCTCCCAAGACCCATTTGCACTGTGGGTGACTATCACACAGCTTTTTTGGTTTTTAGGGGTATAAGTTTTGAGTCAGGGTCTCACTATGGCGTCCTAGCCTCTCAGGCATGGGGAGTACAGGCCTGGGCCACTGATGCTCAACTTAGTTTCTTTCCTTGTCTTGCTGCTGCCTAGGCTGGCATGTGACTCGAGATACTTCTTGCCCCTGGGGTAGCTAGGACTGCAAAGTTCCTAGCTGTAAAGGAGAGAGTTTATTGTATATAAACTGGAATTGATATAAGTGGTGATAAGCTCCTTCATTCCCTAGCAGATTCGATCAAAGAGACACACTCAGTCCTTCAGCACTGCAGGAAACTGGGTACTCTGGAATAGCTCCCTAGGTTCAAAGCCAGTCTTATTTTACAGTGATAGCTCAAGAAAAAACAACAAAAAACCCAAACAAACAAACCAAAAAAATCAAACTGAGAGTGGTGTACATTTTGGTGGGAAATACTGAAACAGACCAATGAATGTTGAAAGTTCCTACCTTCAAATGCCAGCACGAGCCTCTAAACAGTGTGGTGTGGAAGACCAATATAGGAGGGTTACAAGTTCTAGACCAGCCTGGACTACACAGCAAGACCTTTAAAAACTGAAAAGTGACCACAAGAGAGCACACTTGCTGGGCATTAGTAAAGGTTTTTCTTTTTACATTAAAAGCAAGACCAAAACAAAACTTTAAGTTTTATTTGCAATTGTGTGTGTGGCTCTGTGCCACAGTTGAACATTGATTCAGACAGGTATAAATATGTCAATTTCACAGGCAAAGGGAGGGGTGAGGAGAGAAAGCTTCTATCATTGGCCCTTTCAGCCATCTCATACAAATCTCGTAGTGCAGCTGGGTACATTCAAGCAAGTGGCTGCCATGCTTGAAATAAGGTTTTGTTTTACGTTTTGAAATGAGTTGGTTTTTTTCTACCTTTGAGATTATAACGAACACGGTCACCACAAGAAAAGTCAGAAGGTGGACAGAGAACACTCTGAACGCTGGTTTGGTCACTGGTCATCATTAAAATGAAGTAAAAACAAATTTTCCTTTAAAGGGGCGGGGCAACGCCTTGCAAGTTCAGGCTTTCTTCCCTCCCTTGCTGTAGATTCCTTCAGTGGTTTTGGTGGCGTGGTGGACAGCATATGCCGTCTGTGGGTAGCACTGTCCCGTGTGGGAGCATGGGCCAGCTTCTCTAGGTAAAGGTGACCACATTGAGATTCTAGGACAGGAAATGACTAGACCACGGCAGTCTTTCAAGTTTAGCTTTTCCTTTGTTGCTTTCTGGACATCCTCAGCATCCCCCTCAGCCCCTTGCTGTCCACATCATCCTCACCTGCTTGCCCACAGCTGCTGCCCGGCTCTCCACATCTTCCTCTTCACCGTCACCAACTTCCTCCTCTCCACCCCTCTGTCTGTTACTGCCACTGGCCGGTACTTCTCTTCGGCTCTGTGCCTCCTTCCTGTCCTCAGTGGTGACCTCAGAACTCGTGTCCGCAACTGTGTCTGATTAGCAATGTTCAAGGTCGTTGCCAGAGAGCAGCAGAGACAGGTGGTGACTGGCTGCAACCAGTGAACAATGTCAAGATGGCTTTTCAAACAGTGAAGAGCTTACTCTTTATTGGAGGGGAAATAATGCAGATGATCAACAGGGACGGACATCGATGGATTTTTATTGGCAATGGCTGGAGCAACAGGCTTTTCAATTACCTTAAGGATCACTAGGACGCATTTGAATCGGGCCCACTAATGCATAAAGTAGGCATTCTAACTCCTTTTGAAGCAGGTTAAAAACAAAACCACTATTGTGGCTGTTATAATGCAATCTCTAAAAGGCGGTCCTCCCTCCCCCCACCCGCTGACTCGATTCGCTGGTGGTTGACTTCTCACTCAAAGTCTTCGGCTTTGCAAATCTTCAGAGGCCCGGAGACAGATCCAGTGTAGAAATACGGCCAAAGCGCACCGCTAGCGCAGTCGCTAAAATGGCACAGAAGGGACTTATCGTGCAAATTGTAAAACGAAACCTCGTGCAGGTCAGAGTCTAAAAAAATTCCAACCCTATTAGGCGCTACCTTTGGCAGAAGATCAATTTTCTTATGGCCCAATGCAATATAATCGTGGCAGCGGGTTAATCCGATCCCCCATAATCCATCCTGCACTGAAAACGGTCGCCTGGCCTTGCTCCCGTCCACACTCCTGGGGAAAGGCTCTTTGCAGACCCCCAGCAGCCATTCGCTCATGTTTTCCACGGCTACCTCCCAGTAGTGTCTGCCAGAGCTGTAACCCTCAGACCCCAGAACAACGGGGTGCGCAAGGAATCTTCTCTGGTTATTGGGTAACTTTTTCATTTTCCCACGGAGCACAGCTTTTTTGTCTTCGGAGACATCAAGCGTACAGTGTGCTGTGTCAGGATCTAGAGTGACATCAACGTGAAATCGCTTGATAATTCTGTCCAAGCCAGAGAACTGTGGAGGAAACGAGGAGCGATACTGTTTCGTTTCTACAGAGAGCACCTTGGGGCATTTTAAGTTTGCGTGCCGCCTGTAAATCTCTTTCACGCTGGCCAGCAATTCCAGCTCTGACCTTCCATAGTTTCTCTCTGCCTCACTCAACAGACACTTTAATGAAGACAGGTGATCTGAGAATTTCTCTAGGTTTTCATTCAGCTTGGCTAATGCAGCCAACTTTTCATTTTCTAACTGCCCAAGAATGTCCTTCTGTTGATCCTGGAGAAACAGTCTATATTGTCGGTATTCAGACATTACCTCCTCTCGTCTGAGGTTTATCATTCTGTTCAGCACTAGCGATCTTATCCTGTGGGTGGCAATTGCTTTCTCGGCCGGCTCTACTGTCTCCCTCCACATTTTAAGGAAATATTCAATTTGTTTCATACTACAGAGGGCCGCATCCTCTATGGGCCAAACAAAGCGACTCGTGGGACTGGGGGAGAAAACCTCTTGCTCCTTCCCACTGGAGGGGGCCGGGGGCTGTGACTGCATCTCAGAAGAGTGCTCTTCTTGCTGGCTGTTATTCCTTCTCTTTTGTACTGGGAGCGGCTGGGCAACTTCAGGAGCCTGACTTGGCTGTTCTTGACTCCAAATCTTCCTTTCTGGACAATCAAAGTGGCAAAGGGGACAGGGGAAACAACCCTTTGGATCCTTCCAGAACTCACTGATGGAGGCGTGACAGAAGTCATGCCTGCACTCGGTCACTGGGTTCTCGAAGTCCTCCTTACAGATGGGACAGTGGGCCTCAGCTTGGAGGTCTGCCTGCGCCGCTTTGAGCTCCATGGAACCCTGGATGCTTGTGGGAGACACCATGCTGCCTCTGGAAGGCCTGGCCCCCCGCAGCTCAAAAGCAGCAAGCTCTGGTTGTTCCTGAGATCTGGACATCGATCAGCTTTTTAGGTTCACTGCCTTGTTGTCGTTGGCTTCTGCAAACTTGGTTAGTCCTAGGGACCTTACACACCGGAGAGGGCTGAGAGTCCAGAGCCCAGGCCTACTGCATGTTACAACACGTCAGCTAGGCTGTTGCTTTCCCTGCTCAGTGATCTGCAGGCAAGTGAAGCTTTCTTGTTCAGGAAAGGCGCTCCACATCCAAGAAAATAAATCCTTCCTATGGGTGAGATTAAGACACGGGAGTTTAAAAATCAGACAGTGTGTTCAGCAATGTATTAAAACAACCACGTAAGAACCCTATGTACTCCAGGACAGCCTCCAAAACAATACAGAGAAACCCTGTCTCAAAAAAAAAAAAAGAATCCTATGTACACAGGACCTGAGACCCATATCACAAGAGGAACCAACTTTTTTTTTCTTTTTTCTTTTTCTTTTCTTTTCTTTTTTTTTTTTTTGAGACAGGGTTTCTCCATAGCTTTGGAGCTTGTCCTGGAACTCACTCTGTAGGTCAAGCTGGCCTCAAACTCACAGAGGTCCGCCTGTCTCTGCCTCCTCAGTGCTGTCACCACCGCTCGGCAGGGAGGAAACAACTCTTGAAACTTGTCTTTGAACCTCTGTGCCCCTGCGGTGTGGACACATAGCCTGTCTAGGGGCACACACATGCCCACACTCACTAAACAAACTCGTAAAAGTTGATGGGTGCTAAAATCATTAGGTGAAAATATGGCACATTTATACTGCAGATTTTTTTTTGAGACAGGGTTTCTCTGTGGCTTTGGAGGCTGTCCTGGAACTCGCTCTGTAGACCAGGCTGGCCTCGAACTCACAGAGATCCGCCTGCCTCTGTCTCCCGAGTGTTGGGTTTAAATGTGTGCGCCACCAACGCCTGGCTTATACTGCAGATTTAACTCATATCAACTATAAGCCAACAGTAACACAAACTGGGAAGATGGCTCGGCCGGCCGTCAGAGCACCGGCTGCTCACAACCACCCATAATTCCATTTCCAGGGGATCAGATGCAGCCTTCTGCATGTGGTACACATACATACATGCACGCAAAACACTTATGCACCTAAAATAAGTAAACCTAACCTACCATCAAACAAAACAAAACATAAAATCAGGCATTGTATAAGTCAAACTTAGTGGGAGGTAGAGACAAGAGGATTAGGGATCAGGCCTTCTAAACTATCAGATAGTCTGGGTTGTTTTAGAAAATAGAATAAGAAATTTAGAGCCGGGCGTTGGTGGCGCACGCCTTTAACCCCAGCACTCGGGAGGCAGAGGCAGGTGGATCTCTGTGAGTTCGAGGCCAGCCTGGTCTACAGAGTGAGTTCCAGGACAGCCTCCAAAACAATACAGAGAAACCCTGTCTCGAAAAACCAAAAAAAAAAAAAAAAAAAAAAAAAATTAGAACAACAATAACAAAAAATGGGCATGTATATTTACATCACTAGGGAGTAGAGCCAGGATAAGGAGGAATCCGAGATAGGCCGAGATACAAGAGTCTCTATCTCAAGCAAACAAAACACCAAAAAAAAATTTTTTTTTTTGGTTTTTCGAGACAGGGTTTCTCTGTGGCTTTGGAGGCTGTCCTGGAACTCACTCTGTAGACCAGGCTGGATCTGGAACTCACAGAGATCCGCCTGCCTCTGTTTCCCGAGTGCTGGGATTAAAGGCGTGCGCCACCATCGCCCGGCTCAAAACACTAAAAATTTATAAACAAAAAAATACCAGCTGGCCGTGGTAGTGGATGATTTTAATCCCAGCTTTCAGGAGGCAGAGGCAGGTGGATCTCTGTGAGTTTGAGGCCAGCCTGGTCTACAGAGTGAATTCCAGAACAACACAGACAAACCCTTTCTCAAAAAGTGATAAGACAAAAATAAAAAAACCTTTATCAGGGCTGGAGACTTGACTCAGTGGTTTGGAAGTACTGGCTATTCTTCCAGAGAACCCAGGTTCAATTCCCAACACCCAAATGGCAGCTCACAACTGTCGGTAACTCCAGTGGGCTTCCAACACTCTCACCCAGACATATATACAGGCACATTAAAAAAAATCATTAACAAAATTAATTAAGCTGGGCGTTGGTGGCGCACGCCTTTAACCCCAGCACTCGAGAGGCAGAGGCAGGTGGATCTCTGTGAGTTCGAGGCCAGCCTGGTCTACAAGAGCTAGTTCCAGGACAGCCTCCAAAGCCACAGAGAAACCCTGCCTCGGAAAAAACAACAACAACAACAAAACAAAACAAAAAAAGGAAAATGCCAATCAGATCGGGAGATAGGTGACAGTGCCTGTACTGCAAGCCTGGAAACTAGAGTTCAATTCCTAGAATACATACAACAGCCAGATGTGGTGGCTTGTCACTCATAATCCACCTCCCAGTGGCAGAGAAGTGGAAACAGGAGACTTGGCCAGAGTTTCTGAGTCGGCAAACCTGGAGAACACTGAGCAGCAGTAGAGACAAACACCCTGCCTGAGGCAATGGACAGAAGTAGAGAAAACCATCCTGAGTGAGGTGACCCAGACCCAGAAAGACAAACTCCGTATGTACTCACTCATAAGTGGATGCCAGATGTAAAGAAAGGATAACCAGACTGCAATCCACACAGAGTTTTCCCTACCCCGAGAAGCTATGTAAAGGGGGGAGGGGACCCACGGGGGATCCCAGGAAGGAAAAATAGTTACGATTTCCTGGATAGCTGGGAGTTGGTGGCGCACGCCTTTAATCCCAGCACTCGGGAAACAGAGGCAGGCGGATCTCTGTGAGTTCCAGATCCAGCCTGGTCTACAGAGTGAGTTCCAGGACAGCCTCCAAAGCCACAGAGAAACCCTGTCTCGAAACACCAAAAAAAAAAAAAAAAAAAGATCTCCTGGATAAACTGGGAGGGAGGGAAGGAGGGAGGGGGATGGGTGGGAACACGAGGGATTGAGATAGCCGAGCTACCTGAGGGACAGAGGGGGAGAGCAATGAACGAGGTATCTTGACAGAGGGAGCCTTTATGGGGTTAGGGAGAAACCTGGGGCTAGGGTAATTCCCAGGAACCCACCAGGATGACCCCAGCTAAGACTCCTACCAAGAGTGAAGAGGGTGTCTGAACTGGTATTTTCCTATAATCAGATCGTTGACTACCCTAATTGTCATCATCGAACCTTCATCCAGCAACTGATGGAAGCAGATGTGGTGACCCACAGCCAAGCACTGGGTGGAGCTCCTGGAGTTCAGTTGAAGAGAGAGGAGGGATTATTCGAGGGGGGGCAGTGTCAACATCATGATTTGGAAAACCACAGAGACAGCTGACCCAAGTTAGTATGGACTCTGCACTGACAGCTGGGAACCTGCATTGGACCAAACCAGGCCCTCTGAATGTGGGCGACAGTTATGTGGCTTGATCTGTTGAATGGGCCCCTGGCAGTGGGACAAGGACTTATCCTGGGTCCGAGAACTGGCTTTTTGGAGCCTATTCCCTATGCTGGGATACTTTGCTCAACCTTGATACAGGGGGAAGGGGCTTGGTCCTGCCTCAACTTGGTATGCCAGAGTTTGTTGATCCCCAAGGGGGGACTTACCCCCTCTGAGGAGTGGATGGTGCGGGTGGGGAGAGAGGGATGTTGGGGGGAGGAGAAGGGGAAGGAGGAGGAGCTGGGGTTGGTATGTAAAATGAAAAAGTTTAAAATAAAAAAGAACCAGAGAGACAGAGACAGAGGAGAGAGAGAGACAGAGACAGAGAGACCCTGCCTGAAAAAAGTATGGAGTGGGGTGGGTGAGGCTGGAGTGATGGGTCAACATTTAAGAGCACTTTCTCCTCTTGCAGAGGGATCAGCCCCAGGACTACATGGCAGAAAAAAAAAAGGAAAAAGGAAAAAAGTCTGTCACCCCAGTACTAGGGAATCCAACCCCTTCTTCTGGCTACTGCAGGCGCCAGACAGGCACACAGTGCAAATATATACACACAAGCGGGCAAAATACTTCCACACATATGCAACAAGAAAATGCAAGCTAGCAACCAAGGTGTCGAGCTGGCAAGAAGGCTCAGCAGGTTAAAGCATGTGCTGTCAAACCCAGCCACCTGAGTTTAATCCCCGAGACCCACATGACGGGAGCAGAGGACTGGCACCTGCAAGCGGTCCTCTGACCCCCACAGCCGTGCTGTGGCTTGCACGCAGCCCCACACATGACACACAATAATTAACACGTACAATTTTCTTAAAGGTGGAAGGCAGAGTCGGCTGTGGAGGCCATAGTTAATCCCAGCACTAGGGAGGTGGAGGCAGAGACAGACGGATCTCTGAGTTCAAGGGCAGCCTGGTTTACAGACTGAGTTCCAAGACAGTCGGGGCTACGCAGAGAAACCCTGTCTTAGAAAGCCAACCAACCAACTAAACAAAAAAGGTAGAAGGCAGCCAGGTTTGGTGATACACACCTAAAATCCCAGCGTTGGCCGGGCGTTGGTGGCGCACACTTTTAATCCCAGCACTCGGGAGGCAGAGGCAGGCGCATCTCTGTGAGTTGGAGGCCAACCTGGTCTACACAGTGAGTTCCAGGACAGCCTCTGAAACAATACAGAGAAACCCTGTCTCGGAAAAAAAAAAAAAAAAAAAAGATCCCAGCGTTGGGGGTTGGGAGTGGCTGGAGAGAGGCTGATCTCTGTGGCTCTGAGTCTTGCCTGGACTACATAACGAGTTTCAGGGCAGCCAGACCCTGCCTCAAAACAAAAACAAACATCAAAAAGGTGGAAACCGATTTCTACAAGCTGTCCTCTCCTTCCCCGACAATTAAACAGAACCAGAGTGAGAAATGGGTTGGAGACCACTGGGACTCCACCTTCCCCAATAGCATCACCAGGCAGACCGAGTGTCCAAACACAGGAGCCTATAAGCGACACTCACATCCAAACCACAACTGCCTATTGTCTTTACTGGAACTAGCTCTTGTAGACCAGGCTGGTCTCGAACTCAGAGATCCGCCTGCCTCTGCCTCCCGGGTACCGGGATTGAAGGCAGGACCACCACCGCCCGGCTCCATCGTCATACTTTTGTTGTTGTTTTGTTTTTTAAGTTATCAAGGCAAGCTGAGCGTTGGTGGCGCACGCCTTTAATCCCAGCACTCGGGAGGCAGAGGCAGGCGGATCTCTGTGAGTTCGAGGCCAGCCTGGTCTACAGAGCGAGTTCCAGGACAGCCTCCAAAGCCACAGAGAAACCCTGTCTCGAAAGACCAAAAAAAAAAAAAACAAAAAACAAAAAACAAAAAGTTATCAAGGCATTTTAAATTTCTGTTTTTTTCTCAATATATGTTTTTACTTAAATTAGAAACATGAATGCTTCACATGCCAATCCCAGTTCTGTCTCCCACCCCTCCTCCTTTGTCCCTCCACCAACCCCCCACCCAATCCCCACACCATTCCCCAGGGAGGGTGAGGCCCTCCTTGGGGGGGGATCTCTAGAGTCTGTCATTTCATCCAGGGCAGGACCTAGGCTCTTCCCCATGTGTCCAGGCTGAGAGAGCATCCCTCCATGTGGAATGGGCTCCCAAAGCTCATTCGTTCGCCATGGTAAACACTGATCTACTCCCCAAGGCCCCAGAGATTGCCGAGGCCTCCTCCTCCTCGTACTTTATGAAAAACAGTCCATCTCAACTCCATCAGAAATCCTGTCAGTCACGCGGCACAGAGACTGCAGTGCTTGCACTTTACCTGCTGGAGATGGCGGGTCCTGCGGCTCACACCGATCACTGCAGGAAGCAGAGGGAGCCGCAGCGCACAGGTCGAAGAGCAAACCTCCACAGGAAGGGCAGTCCTGCCTCCACGGTGACTGGCGGCTCCACTGGAAGTGGTCGCGGACTGGTTCCACGCGTGCCTGACACCACTGGTCCCCTCTCAGCAGGCCCAGTGCCTGAAGGGCTGCCCGTGAAGGCCCTGATTGGCCAAGCGATGAAGCAATCCTTTGACTCCTCCTAGTGACCTTCTCCTGTCTTGCTGTGACCAGCTGATCTAGAAAATTCCATTGGTCTAGAATGACTGTTTCCACGATTTCATTAAAAAAAAAAAAAGGCAAACACAAAGGGAAAGGTGTCCCCTGGGCCTTTCGGGAAACTTGGAGTTGTTCCTATGACCACCTAGATGAGATGGTTCGCAAGAAACGCCCTGTGACTGTTGCCACGCCTAACTGGAAGGGTCGGAACAGGCTAAAGCCTCTTGGCAAGGCCTCGGAGCCGCAGATCTAGCCGAGACAGCTTCCTAAATCAGGTGAAGGCAAAGTGATTGGGAAAAGAAGGAAGCCAAAGAGAAAAGTGGCTGGGCGCAGCTGCATCGCGTCCATCCCGGCTTGCTGGCACCTGTGGGGTGTCTCCTGACAGAACTAGATGAGAAAGAACAAAATAAACCACCAAAGAAAACCCTGAGTGTAAAGTCAAAAAACCAAACGCCATGCCCCCAGAACGAGGAGAGTCCTGCAGCAAAGTGGCTTCACACAGCCAGGGGTGCAAGGTGAGGTGTGGAGTGGGTTACCTTGCACACCTACTCGTACCCCTACCTTAACCCTACCCCTACCCCTAACCTTAATCTTACTCCTACCCCTACCCTTAACCCTAGCCCTAACCCCTATCCCTAACCCTAACCCTATCCCTAATCCTAACCCTATCTCTATCCCTAACTCTATCCCTAACCCTAACCCTATCCCTATCCCTATCCCTATCCCTATCCCTATCCCTAACCCTAACCCTAACCCTACGCCTACTTGTACTCTTAACCCTAACCCTAACACTAACACTAACACTAATCCTATGCCTACCCTTAACTCTAACCCTAACCCTAACCCTAACCTGACGCCTACCCCTAATCCTAACCTTAACCCTAACCCTACGCCTACCCCTAACCCTAACCTTAACCCTAACCCTAACTCTATGCCTACCCCTAACCCTCAGGTTAACTCTGCGCCTATCCCTAACCCTAAACCTAACCCCTAACCATCTCAACCGGCCAGCACTGTCGGGCATTCTGGCCCTTCGTGGAGTTTTAACCCCGTTCTACAATTCAAATTCACCAGGGTTGAAGGATGGTTATCAAGTGGTTGGAGAAATTTGAGGGCAGCAATTTTCAAGGCTGAGTAGAGCCTGTAGAAAGCGTCAGGGCTTCAAATAGTTTAGTTCCCAAGCAGCTGAAAGAGGTCTGTCGGGAAGTAGGGATCCAGGAAATGTGAAGATGATGAGCCGGGCAAGTCGATGTCTGAGGCTCCTCGGGATTTTTTTTTTTTTGTCAAGTGGAAGGGAAAGAGTGAAATAATTTAAATGTGCTGTAATATTGGAGTTGGAAAGACATTAGCGGTTGAGCATCTTGCTGCCCTTGCCGAGGATCCGCCTTGGGTTCCCAGCACCCACATGGTGCCTCACACTATCGGTAACTCCAGTTCCAGAGACCTGATGCCCTCTCTGACTTCCAAGAGTACCAGGAAACAAATGGTACAGACATACATGCAGACAAAACACTCATACACATAAAATAAAACAAATCATTAATAAAAAACAAATAACCTGGTGTGTAGCTTGTTTGTGGTTTTTGTTGTTGTTATTTGTTCCTTTTTTTCTTTTTGAGACAAGGTGTCTTGGAACTTGATCTATACATCAGACTGGCCTTGAACTCAGATCTGTCAGCTTCTGCCTCCTGAGTGATGGGATTAAAGGCGCTTAACACCACACCTGGAAATTATTTGAATCTTTTTTTTTTTTTTTTTTTTTGGTTTTTTGAGACAGGGTTTCTCTGTATTGTTTTGGAGGCTGTCTTGGAACTCACTCGGTAGACCAGGCTTGGTCTCAAACTCACAGAGATCCACCTGCCTCTGCCTCCCGAGTGCTGGGATTAAAGGCATGTGCCACCAACGCTTGAAAGGACATCTAGAAAGAGCTGAAAGAGATCTTTCAATACTTCTAGAAGCTCCATCCAAGAAGGGGAAGCAGAGGATGTGGATCTCTGTGAGTTCGGGGCCAGCCTGGTCTACATAGTGAGTTCTTTGACAGTCAGAGCTACATAGAGCCTCCCTGTCTCCAAAAAACAATAAAGTAAATAAAAGCTCCAAAAGCCGGGCGTTGGTGGTGCACACATTTAATCCCAGCACTCAGGAGGCAGAGGCAGGCGGAACTCTGTGAGTTCGAGGTCAGCCTGGTCTACAGAGCGAGTTCCAGGACAGCCTCCAAAATAATACAGAGAAACCCTGTCTTGAAAAACAAAACAAAACAAAACAAAACAAAACAAAACAAAAAAAAAAAGCTCCAAGAAGGAATGGGCAGTGAGCAGTTAGACCGAAGGAAGCATGAGCTAGAGGAACAATGGTATTGATAAAGTCCTAGGTTGTTGTTTGTTTGTTTTTTATTGTTCACTGGTGTTTGTCTTCTTTCATTCATTGTGTGTATGTCTTTGTGAGCGTGTCAGGTCCTGGAGTTACAGTTGTGAGCTCTGAGCTGCAATGTGGATGCTGGGAATTGAACCTGCCACCTCTGGAAGATCAGTCAGTGCTCTTAACCACTGAACCATCTCTCCAGCCCCGATAAAGTCCTGGTTCTACATGCATGTGTGTTTGTGTGTGGGTATGCATGTGTAGATGTGGAAGTAAGTCAGAGAGCGACTTGTGGTAGTCCGTTCTCTCTGTCCACCATTCTACCATGTGTGTCCTGGGGACTTGGCCACAAGTGCTTACCAGCCACCCATACACATTTTTGTTTATAGGGGTACAGGGTCTCACTATATAGTCCTGGCTGGCTTGGAAGCTGCTATATAGAAGAGATGATGTTTGGGAGTTTGGTTTTTGTGTATGTTTTGAGACTAGAGTGTTGGTATGTAGCCCAGGCTAACCTCAAGCTTATCCTTTTAAATGTATGGGTTTTTATTTTAAAGACTTATTCACTTTTGTGTTATGTATGTAGGTGGTTTGCCTACCTGTATGTCTACACATCATGTGTCCATGCAGTGCTTATGGAGTTCAGAAGAGGGCACCAGATTCCTTGCAACTGGAATTACAGGTGTGAGCCACCACGTAGATGCTGAGACTTGAACCCTGGTCCTATGGCAAGGCAGCAAGTGCTCTAAGCCCCTGAACTGTCTTTCCAGCCCCCAGCTTTCTCCTCTTGCCTTAGTCTTCCACGGGCTATGATTCCAAGCCTACAGCCCTACAGCTGGCTAAGATTCAATTTGTCAAACTGAACTACTTAAAGTAAAACGTTTCTCCATCCCAGGTTGAAAACCCGGAGGCGTAAGACCTCCACGAGTGTGCTATAGTTTGTGCATGCCCACAAACATGCTCATACACACAAAAATAAAGGCTTTTTTTTGTTTTGTTTTGTTTTTGTTTTTTCGAGACAGGGTTTCTCTGTATTGTTTTGGAGGCTGTCCTGGAACTTGCTCAGTAGACCAGGCTGGTCTCAAACTCACAGAGATCCGCCTGCCTCTGCCTCCCAAGTGCTGGGATTAAAGGCTTGCGCCACCAACGCCCGGATAAAGGCCATTTTTTAAGTTTAAGAAATTACTTCAACCTAGCACTTGGGAGGCAGAGGCAGGCGGATCTCAGTGAGTTCGAGACCAGCCTGGTCTACTGAGCAAGTTCCAGGACAGCCTCCAAAGCAATACAGAGAAACCCTGTCTCGAAAAACCAAAAAAGAAAAAAAGAAAGAAAGAAATTATTTCAGATAAAACCCCATCAGCGTGACAATGACTACAGAAAAGCTGAGCATGCTCTTTAAGAACTACAGCAGGATGAGTGCGGTTTATATGGTAAGAGTTGATTGTCAGGCATCAGTGTATTCTCCTTGGCCAACTGTTATTATCCTTTCCCCGAGAAAAGATCTTCTGTAGCCCAGGCTGGATTTGTTTCTGAGCTTCCTAGCTCTACCTCCCAAATCCTAAGGCATTTGGCATGTGCCGTCAAGCCCTGTTTATGTGTTACTGGGATCCAAGCCAGGGTGCTGTACATGCTGGACAAGTGCTCTGCATATCTTGCTTCTCTTTCAAATGACAAGTTTAGAAGAGTTTTCCAAAAATTCATCTTATTAAAGACTTTGGCGCCGGGCGTTGGTGGCGCACGCCTTTAATCCCAGCACTCGGGAGGCAGAGGCAGGCGGATCTCTGAGTTCAAGACCAGCCTGGACTACCAAGCGAGTTGCAGGACAGCCTCCAAAACCACAGAGAAACCTTGTCTCGAAAAACAAAACAAAAAAACAAAACAAAACAAAACAAAAAAAGACTTTGGCAAATCTGAAGAACCACAACCATTTCTGTTTGGGTCTATATGCATTTCCACTGCTTAGAAGACTTTCCTTGTTTGTTTGTTTTCCAAAACTCATCTTATTAAAGACTTTGGCAAATCTGAAGAATCACAACCATTTCTGTTTGGGTCTATATGCATTTCCACTGCTTAGAAGACTTTCCTTGTTTGTTTGTTTTCCAAAACTCATCTTATTAAAGACTTTGGCAAATCTGAAGAATCACAACCATTTCTGTTTGGGTCTATATGCATTTCCACTGCTCTTGTAGAGGACTGGGGCTTGACTTTCAGTACCCATCTTGGGTGGATCACAACCACCTGCAACTCCAGCTCCAGGGCATCTGATGTCATCTGGCCTTGGTGGGCACACTCCACACACACACACACAATTAAAAACAAATAAAAATACAATAAGAGAAAGCATTTTCTAAACATTTTTTGTTTGTGTGTAAATGTAATGAAAATGTCCTATGTAATAGTATTCCATCCTAAAAGACATAGGACATGTTTTGTTTGTTTGGCTTCATTGGTTTGTGTGCGTGTTTGCTTCTATCTGTCTATCTACCTATCTACCTACCTATTTACTTTTGAGCTAAGGTCTTATCTGTAGCCCCTACAGGCCAAGAGCTTATGTTGCCCAAGCTAACTTCAAGCTCATGACAATCCTCCTGCCTCAGCTTCCCAAACTCTGGGATTACAGGCACGAGGCACCACACCCAGCCCCAAAAGTCTTCTAATAATTCTGATAGCAAGACAAAAACCCTTGATAGGGCCACATTTGCTATTTTCAATTTTGTTTTCTGGTGGTGTTGAGGATGGTGAGATTCTTTTATTGTTTGATAGAATATCTTTTATTTGTTCTTTAATGATTCATGCATGAAAACAATGTATTTTTATTGCAAGCGTAGCCCACGTTGACCTTGCCTTAAACTCCCGCTCCTCCTGGTTCTGCCTCTTCAGCATATCCTGCAGACATGGACCACTAAAACCTGCCAGTCTTTATGTAATAACCTCAGACTTCTTGTTTTAGTAATTAAGGGTGGCCAATTGGTGGTGGTGCACACCTTTAATCCCAGCACACGTGAGACAGGCAGGTGGATCTGAGTTTAAGGCCAGCCTGATCTAAATAGTGCATTCCAGGCCAGCCAGGGCTATACAGAAAAACCCTGTCTCAAAACAAACACAAGAAACACAGGCTGGCATATAGCTGAGGAGAAGGTGCTTTCCTTCAAGTACATAGGGAAAGGGAAGAATTGACTCTAGAACGTTCTTTACCTTCTACACGAGTCTGGTGACATGTGTAGATCATACACATACACATGAATACACACAAAATACTTAAGCATAAAATGTTTAAAAAGCCACCGACTTCCTTAAAAATAGCTATTCTTTGAGTTTCATACATGCATAAAAAATCTGTTGTATTTGCCCTCTTTGTTACTGGCTTTTTAAAATCACGTGAAAGATTGAGAAATGAATGAACATTTCCATATTGAAGTAAAATGACCTGCAATTAGTATTTTACATTTAGTTTTATAACCTTAAATGGATATTGCTCATAAAAAACATTTTCTTAAGCCTTAAATTGAAACAGCATACATCAGTAACAATAGTCCTTTCCCTTAATTTCAATAGAATTAATGAATCAAGTATTTTCTCTTTACTTTGAATAGCTAATCAATACAATTGATCTTCTTGTTTTGTTTGTTTGTTTTCAAGACAGGGTTTCTCTGAGAAACAGCCCTGGCTGTCCTGAAACTTGCTCTGTAGACCAGGCTGACTTCCAACTCAGAGATCTACATTTCTCTGCCTCCTGAGTGCTGGGATTAAAGGAGTGTACCACCATGGCTTATTATTATTTATCTATTTGTTTATTTATTTTTTTGAGACAGGGTCTGCCATATCCCAGGCAGGCCGGTCTTAAGTTCCTGATTTTCCTACCCCAGCCTCTGCAGCATTGGGATTACAAGTGTGTTCTACCACACTCAGCCCAACTCCAGTAGTATTTACTTGAGACAGGTTTCCTGTAGCGCAGGGTGGCCTCAGACTGTGTAGACTGAAACAACCTTGAACTTCTGTGTGTGATGAGTGTGTCATGACATGCATGGACCACACCTGCACCAAAGTTGGGATGCTAGATGTTTCGCCATCATTTCTCATTTTATTCAGTGCTGGTAATCAAATGAGGGCTTTGTTCACAATAGGCAAGCTCTCTACTAACTGAGCTACATGCTCAGTCCTTAAAACAATAGTTTTCTGGGGGTAGGAGAGATGGCTCAGAGGTTAAGAGCACTGGCTGCTCTTCCAAAGGTCCTGAGTTCAATTCCTAGCAACCACCTGGTGGCTCACAACCATCTTTAATGAGATCTGGTGCCCTCTTCTGGCATGCAGGCTTACTTGCAGGCAGAACACTGTATACATAATAAATCTTAAAAAAAAAAAAAAAAAGAAGCCAAAAAAACTAGTCTTCTTGAGCCAGTGAGATGACTCTTGCTGAGTCTGACAACCTTACTTTTGATCCCTAGGCCCCACATGGTAGAAGAAAAGTGGCTTTTGGAAGTTGTTCTCTGAGCTCTACATAGTTCTGTCACCCAGAGGTGCCCATCCACACTCAATAACCACATAAATATAATATTAAAGAAGTAGTTTTCTTTTTAATCCATGTAAGAAGAATAATGTGCAATAAAATCACTCACATGTACATGCCATTAAAGCAGAAACAAAATTGTCTGGGCTAACGAAAGGGAGGGTGAAGAGAGAGAAAGGAGAGTGCACGTGTACAAATATAGTCAACACATATAATGTACATGCATGTAAATAGAGAATATCATGATGGACACATGTGTAAATATAGTCAATGTACATGATACATTTGTACGTAAACATCTTTATGAAACCCATCACTATATATCATGAATAAATGCCAATAAAATAAGGGATAGAAAAAGATGAGAGACTGTTACACGGACAAGCGAAGAGTGCTTCAGCCTAGTCTGTTTCACATTTATATTACTTTCTTGTCAAAGAAAATCCAGGAAGAACAGTCCTGAGAGCTGAAAAACCATCCAAGGTTCTTTGTGATGACCCCTGCTTGAGTAGTAACTCGCAAGCTGCCACACTACTGCCATGCTGGGGTCGAGTTAGGGCGGCCTGGCATCTTCGTTCTCATTCTTCTTCTGGTAGAGGCAACGAAATCAGAGATTTTTCTGTTTGCGAGAAACAAACATAGTACAGTAAGAACGGCTACTCAATACATCAATTTACCTGTGCTTAACTTTAATTTTCTTAAGTCATTTTTAATTTTCGCTTGTATTTTATGCATGTGGGTGCTTTGTCAGCATGTATGTCTCTGTGCGCATGTGTGCAGTGCCTGTGGAGGTCAGAACAGGACAATTATTAAATCCCCTGGGAGTGAGGTTACAGGTGTCTATGAGCAACCAGTTCTCTCAGTTCCTGACTATCTCCCCAGCCCTTACAAGTGTTAGCTTAGCAAGCAGTTATCAAAGTTTATTCCAACAGGGAGAAGCTGAAAAAGTAGAAGGTGGGGGCAAAGGGGGTAGGGGGGATGGGGGAGTAGGGTGAGGGTGGGAGGCAGTGCTCTCCAGAGCAGAGGGTGGATTGAACCCTGGGCAAAGGTCTCATGTTTAAATTTTCTTCTGCTCCTCTTTGACGTGGGAAGTCCTTCTGTGTATATGTCTCTCTTTGGTTAATGGATAAAGCACTGTTGGCCAATAGGGAAGCAAGAGAGGTGGGAGTAGGAGTCGAGGAGGATTCTGGGAAACAGAAGCACAGTCAGTCACGATGTAGGACTCTGGAGAAGTAAGATGTCCAGACCCTTTCTCTGGTAAGAGAAGATCACATGGAAATACTTAGATTAGCAGTTACGAGTTAATAATTAAGTCAAAGCTAGATGATAAGAAATCAAGGCAAATGACCAACAGCTTTGTAATTAATATAGCGTCCTGTGTGTTATTTGGGGGCTGAGACAGCAGCGGGACCCAAGTGGCTGGCGGGAAGACTACACGTTACACCACTTCCTTTTTCTTCGGAGTTGTGCCCCACAACTTTAATCCCAGTAGGAAGGATGACTCCTAAGATACCCCGATTCCAAGAAGGGAATGCTGGCCCAGGAGTCCGCTTCCCTAATTTAGCTTCTGTCTCCCTTCTCACAGTCTGCAGCAACAGACTGCTCATTTCATTCCATGGCTATCCCCACATACCATGTGAGAACACTGTACAGTGGTGGAGATTTATGTCCCAGCACTGAGAGTTGGGGACAGGGGGGTGCCAGGGGCTTCTGCCAGCCAGACTAACCCAACCAACGAACTGCAAGCTAGTGACAATCATCTCAAAGGAGATGGACAGTGTTCCTGAAGATGACACTCAAACCTCCACATGTACTCGTAGGCATGTGCTTGTGCACTTACATATACAAACACATTCAGTCACATCACACACACACACACACACACACACACACACACACTCAGTTCTCAAAGGTTTTTTTTTAAAGTCTAGTCAAAATACAGTAGTAATTTGACTGAGCACTGTGCACCTTTAATTTCCCAGTCAGGAGGCCAAGGCAGGAAGGTCACTGTGAGTTCAAGGCTATCCTGTTCTAAATAGTGAATTCCAGGACAGCCAGGGCTATCTATGTAGACAGAGCCTATCTCAATAACAAAAAGGAAGGAGAGGGCGGGAGAGGGGGAGAGAGGGATGGAGGGAGGGAGGGAGGAAGGGAGAGAGTGAGGGAGAGAGGGAGGAAGGGGGAGGGGGAGGGGGGAGGGAGGGAGGGACGAAGGAGTCCTGAAAATTCAGCTGTTTCTCTGGGCTCAAAGCACTTATTATGTAAGTACAGTTCCTGTAAGTCTTCACAAGCATGAAGTTAAACTACTAAGAACACTTCTTAACTTATTATAAACTCTTAATTTGCTCCATTATCAGTCTCAATTATTTCTTTTAATGTTTTGGAGTTACATTTCTGTTTTGTTTTTATCATCTAAATCAGGTATTTACTTCAGACCAACAAAAAGTTGTCAGAATAAGTGTTAATTTAAAAAATTATTTTCTGTGTGTGTGTGTGAGAGAGGGAGGGAGGGAGAGAGAGAGAGAGAGAGAGAGAGAGAGAGAGAGAGAGAGAGAGAGAGAGAGAGGGAGGGAGAGAGAGAGAGAGAGAGAGAGAGAGAGAGAGAGATCGAGTGCCTGAGAAAGTCACAAGACTCCAGATGCCCTGGAGATTGAGTGACTGAGGGTTGTGAGCCACATGATGCAGACACTGGACAGGAACTGGGGGTCTGATAACAGCAGCAACTGTTCTCACCTCTGAGCAGCCAATTCTCCAGCCCACAAAAATGTTCATTTTGAGCATTTCATTCACTAGGCAAAATGGTCTCCTGGTATCTTTCGTTTTTTAAAAAAGTGGGTATTTACGCACGTGTGAGGTCACAACCTGTGGGACTCTATTCTCTTCTACTACATAGGTCCCAGGATTCAACTCTGGTCATCAGGTCAGGCAAAACATGCCTTTACCTGCTGAGCCATCCCAAGGGCAGAAAGTATACAGATGCACCAAGGTAGAGGGCCAGATAAAATGAGGACGGAGGTGTTTTGTCCTGAAACCTGGGAAGGGGCTTTATGTTTGTATTAAACTGACTCTCACTATTTCACTATGTAGCCTAGACTAGTCTCAAACTCTCAATCCTGTCTTAGCCTCTCAACTAAGAAGTACTACATCTGGTTTAGTTTTGTTTGTTTTTGTTGTATTGAGACAGGTCTTGAAATGTATGTAGACCAGACTGGTCTCCAATTCTCAAAGTCTATGTGACATTTATTTATTTATTTATTTATTTATTTATTTATTTATTTATTTATTTGGGACAGAGTCTGTCTACACAGATAGCACTGGCTGTCTTGGAACTTACTATGTAGACCAGGCTGTCCTCAAAGCTACAGAGATCAGCCTGCTTCTGCTTCCCAAGTGCTGGGATTAAAGTGTGTAACACAATACCTGTCTTTGTGCTCCCTCCCTCCCTCCCTCCCTCCCTCCCTCCCTCCCTCCCTCTATTAGATGTATCTTTTGTAGCCCAGGCTGTCCTCAAACTCCTCATGTACCTAAAGCTGGCCTTGAACTATGGCTCTCCATGTTTCTTCCTCCTAAATTTAGGATTACAGGCCTATGGCACGGCCATGACCAACAGGAAGGTTTTTTATAGACTAGTCAATTAGTTAAATTCTTCCGTGGAATCAGAAGTTAAGAGCTTGGTGCACCAGACTTCATACCTCTAACCCCGCCACGCTGAATGCCGAGGTGGATGGACACAAGTTCTAGCCAGCCTAACCTAGTGAGTTCCAGGCCAGCCAGAACTCTGCAAGGAGACCCTGTCTGAAACAAAAGTCAAGACAACACACCAACAAACAGAAGACTGAAAACACGCCAAATTCATCTAGAAAGTAAAATTTTTCGCTTTGTCTGTGTTTGGGGGCACACAGGTAGAGGCCAGAGGACAACCTGAGGGGATCGGTTCTTTCCTTCTGCCTTGTGGGTCTTACCTGTTGAGTCATCTCACTGACCCGATGATAGCCATTTGCAGGGATTGTCAACAGGTGAGAGTAGGCTGCAAAAGCATGAACTGAAAGGGTGACTGCCCACCAGGCATGAGACGCTGAGAGGAACGTCATCGTGTGGGTGCGTTTGCTTCAGCATGGAGGCTCCTTAGCAATTATAGCTCTATGCTCACATTCAGCCCAAGGAAAGGAAAGAGGCTGAGAGAGCGGGAGGCACCTGAGCGAGGTGCAGGGATTGGGTGGGATTAAGGCCATCTGATGGCTTGGTTTTTTTCTGTGATATGTTACAAAACTAGATCTAAATAATGATAAAAAATTAGACCTCTGAAGGGAGCGGAAAAAGGAAGAAGCAGTTCTTGATTGGGGACTAAAGCAGCAGCTGGACCAGAGAATCACAACAGCTTGCCAAATACAACAGATCGGAGAGGAACTTAAGTGTTTTTCAAACTCACTTTGTGGAATTCTCCAGCTGCAGTAACATTCCATTCATTTGTGCCCAGTACTAACACAGTGCACCTGATTTCAATAGGTGACCAATTAAAAAAAAAAAGACTAAGACACATAGGAGCTGGGTATAATGCCGCATACCCATGGTTCCCAGAACCTACAACCAAGGATGAAACAGGAGCATCACTCGAACCCAGGAGTTCAAGGTGAGCTGAGCAACAAAGAAAAACAGAGAAAGGGGGGTACTAGAGAGATGATGGCTCAGAGGTTAAGAGCACCTCTCTTCAAGAGGCCCTTAGTTCAAACCCTGTCTCGTAAAAACAAAAAAAAAAAACAAAAAAAAAAAAAGAGGCCCTTAGTTCAATTCCCAACAACTACATGGTGACTCACAACCATATATAATAAGATCTGGTGCCCTCTTCTGGTGTGCAAACATACTTAGAGGCAGTGTATTGTATTCATAATAAATAAATGAATCTTAAAAAAAAAACAACAGAGAAAGGTACAGTAGTAAATGATTGTAAATCCTGGCACTTGTGGATCAAAGCACTGGGAGGACAGACAGGAGAATCAGAGGTTCAAAACCATCTTCAGTTACATAGTGAGCACAAACCAGCCAGGAGAGCCACCCCATCACACACAGACCTCAAAGCAAAATGAAAAGCCATACACTAGGAGTGGTGTCTCAAGCCTGTAACCCGCACACTGCATTTAAGGCGAGCTGGGTCAGTGGAGTAAGACTGGAGGGCTAAGTAGGTGCGGGGACTCTGTCTTGCAAAGAGTGTTCATTATTTGCTATGATGGCAGATAATTTTGTATATACATAAGTTATATGCAAATACAAAGGAGTGACGGGTATATTATAAACATGTATTACAAATATCTTACATAAATTTTTTCTGGTTTTCCTTTTTTCTTTTTTTTTTTTTTTTTTTTTTTTTGGTTTTTCGAGACAGGGTTTCTCTGTGGCTTTGGAGGCTGTCCTGGAACTCGCTTGGTAGTCCAGGCTGGTCTCGAACTCACAGAGATCCGCCTGCCTCTGCCTCCCGAGTGCTGGGATTAAAGGCGTGCGCCACCACCGCCCGGCTTTTTCTGGTTTTCCTTTACAGATTAGGTGTCTTAAGGATTTTCTCTGAGCATGAGTTCTGGACTGACTGTAAAATTAGTCACTTTCCTGACATGTGTGGTGGCACATGCCCAATATCCCAGCACTCAGGAGGATTTTTGTGAGCCGAAAGACAGTGTAGTCTTCATAGTGAGTGCCCAGTCACCAAGGGCTGTGTCTTGAGACCCTGTTTCAAACCACAGTAAGAACAACACAGCCTTTTTTCTGTGTTTGATTCAGTTCTAGTCAGCCTGGATATGCTACAGAGTTCAAAGTGCACACAGAAGAAAAAATTTGGGGGACTGGAGAGATGGTTCAGAGGTTAAGAGCATTGACTGTTCTTCCAAAGGTCCTGAGTTCAATTCCCAGCAACCACATGGTGGCTCACAGCCATCTATAATGAGATCTGGTGCCCTCTTCTGACGTGCAGGCATACATGTAGGTAGAACATTATATTAAATAAAATTGTAAAAAAAATCCTGTTATTAAAAAAAAAAGAAAAAGTTTATGCCCCATGGTTAAAGTGCCAAATCTTGTCTTCAAGGGGATTCTCAACTAATACTGATAAAAATCTAAAGAGTAAATAATAAATAGCTTTAAATTTTAATAACAAAATTTTGTGAGATGCTGGTGGAGCTTGTACTTTACAGAAGCAGGCAGGAGGATTAGGAGTTCAAAGCCAGCCTGAACTACCTGAAATCTTGTCTTTTTTTTTTTAAACCCTTGGTTTTAAAAGAGTAGTAAAAAGGGCCTAGAGAGATGGCTCAGCAGCTAAGAGCATTCTGGCTGTTCGTCCAAAGAACCAGAGTTCAATCTCAGGACCCACATGGCAGCTCACACCTGTCTGTAACTCCAGTTCCAGGGGATCTGACACCCTCACACAGACATACACGCAGATAAAACCCCAATGCAGGTAACATAAAAACCAACTTAAAAATAACGTCAGAGGCTGGAGAAGAGATTCAGCTGTGAGGACGTGCGCTGCTCTTTCAGAGGAACTAAGTTGGCTTCCCAGCACCCACAGCAGGAAGGTCCCAACAACCTTTAGGCTGCTCTTCCAGTCTGCCTGAGTTCAATTCCCAGCATCCACACGGTGGGTTACAAACAGCTGTTAAGTCCAGGTCCAGGAGATCTGATACACACATGCTCTTATCTATCTTCTGAGCTGTCTCTCCATTCTCCAGAGAAGACCAAAATGAATCAAAAAACAAAACAACAAAAACAAGAAAACAGGACTTGGGGGGCTTAGCTTGGTGATGCAGCACTTGGATAGCAAGTACGAGGTCCTGGATCCTGGAGAGACGGAGGGAGTGAAAGGGAACGGAACTGGGCTTCTAGCTCAGTTGAGTGTTTGCCTAACACTCTTAGGGCCCTGGTTTCCATCCACTCCACAGCAGCAGCCCCCTACACACACACACACACACACACACACACACACACACACACACACACACACACACACAAAGATAAGAAAACTTATGGGAGGTGTAAGCCATAGCCGCTGAGTGGGGATGGTAGAAGCGTTCTCACTGCGGAGGAAGTGATCCGCTGAGGAGTTTCTGCACGATGGACGGTGAGTCGACTCACCGGTTTGGGAAGGGATGGATTCTGTGCCAAAGGTGGAGTTGGATTGCAGTTAAACGCAAGAGGAGGAATGGAATGAGGAAGGCAAGGGTTCACTCGGGCGAGTCAGAACAACACCCTTTTTATTGGTATTTTGTTATCCTGAAAAGAGTCACTGTGTGGACCAGGCTGGCCTGGAGCTCACAGAGATGCACCTGCCTCTGTCTTCCCAGTGTTGGCGATTAAACAAACACAACACCACAGGTGGCGGAGAGCCATGCTTGTTTGAAGAGAGTAAGAAGAGAAAGGACGAAACTCGGGCTTCACATCTTCCTGCCTCCATCTTAGGTCTACTGGGGCTGTAGATGGGGGACCACCCCATCTGGGTTAGAAGTGTATTTTAAATGCTAAGGGTGATGAGGGTAATGTATTACTTATGCTTCATATTTATTCGCTTATTGTTTTTATTTATTTTGAGGCAGAATCTCATGTAGCCCAGGTTGGCCCTGATCTTCTTACCTCTGTTGTCCGAGTACTGGGATTACATGTGTAGACAGTTGACTTAGCAGCCCATTTTGAAATGATAAGAAAGGCGAATGAGAGTTATCTATTTACTTAGTTATTTAATAGGCAGGGTTTCATGTAGCCCAGGCTGGTCCTGGTCCTCTTATTTGAGCTGTCAAGCGCTAGGATTAGGTGTGTACCACAACACCTGGCTGACAAGAAAGCATTTTACAAATCCTTTCACAGCCCCTGGGTCTGAGAAGTGAAAATGGGCCGTAGGGTGGGGTGTGGGTGGGGCTTTTGCTTTTGATAGTCTTCCTATTTTTAGAAGTAAGTCTTACACGTGTAACTGCTGTTACACACTTGTCATTGAGAAGTCTGTATTAAAGGCCTGTGCTTACAGAGTGGGTGCCCCCTCAGAGACAGCAACGAGACAGGGAGACACGCGGGAAGAGGGAAGTCACCGGAAGCTTGCACCCCTCTGCCCCCACCCCCTGTCTCCACCCTCTCACATTCTATTGAGAGCTTACACTTCCTGGCGCCCCTTCTCTTGTCTTCCTACAAGCTAATTCGCTTAGAGCAGCAGGTGACGGTGAAGTGTTTCTGTGGGGAAAACAACATGTATCAAGGAAACGTGCTGTCCACTGCACATTTTGATTGAGTCAGTTTTACAGGCTAAAAGCAGCCGTGCTGAGGGGCAGCTAGGCGCACAGTGGGAACTGACCGAACGATCAGAATAAAGGGAACGGGCATTCTATGAGATGAGCTAGAGGTCTCGATGCCACACGTTAATTAAGCGCAATATTTCTGGGGTCAGTTTGTTTGCCTTATCAAAACCAACCCCTCTGCACTCTTACTGGGTACGGAGTCAAGTGACCACAAGGGATTTCATCTGAAGTATGCAGAAAATGTGAAGACGCGGAAGGAACGTTTCCATCTGATACCGACCACCTGTCCAGGGAGGCTGTCTTTACCCGGTAGCCAGCATGGTTTTCTTACAAGATATATAGGAATTGTGACAGCTTAGGTTCAGTAGTCAGCATAGTTTTCTTACAAGATATATAGGAATTGTGACAGCCTAGGTTCCCCGAGAATTGTCCTCAAATCGAATGGTGGAACTTGCGATTGGTACTAGCTGAGCACGACCTTGGGACGCTATCTCAGTGTTTATCTTACGTAGGCTCTTATAATAATTACTGGATTCCAACAGGTGACATTTGTGTATTTGATGTAGGGCTAGTGTAAACACTGAGGAAATGGATGCTGTAACGTGAGCAGGCTACGGAGCCAGCCTCCAGCTCACTCTCAGAAAGGCCCTTGCTGTTAGCCAGGCTTAGATTGCTTTTATTCAAATTTCCCTGTGGTCTGTAAACTTGGCATCTGGGTCAAACTTTCCCTTAACTCTGACAAGTCAAATTGCACTGCTTTATCGAGCTTCCTTATTTACTGCCCTGATTTTTATAGTAGGGCATTTGCGCAGAGAGCCAAGATAAAGGGTGGCCATCTAAGGACTTGTGTTTGTATTTTTCGGGGCATCTTTGTGTTTACAGGAATTCTTTTGCTCCTGTGAAAAGCCCCCCTTTGTCTGTGTTATTTATGGAGGAATGCTGGGAGGGAACCTTCACTCCTCCCAAACACATTTTACGGCTTGTCTTACAAGGTGAAGCTGATCCACACACACCAAAGGACAGTTTAACATATGAAACCCTTGGAAAACCCATTTCAATCACCACTCATTAGCTTTAGAGGAGCTTCCTAGTGTACTTTGCCAGGTCCCTCTACCAAACATACTTTACATAGCTTTGATAGGGAAGAGTCATGTGTCACAGATATGTGCATAGGAGCCTTGGCTTCTATCTCCTCCTCTGATAAATGTTTATTACTGACTTGCTCTTTCTCCGTTTCCTCTCCAAGGCTTTCACTGGGTTTGAAAAGCATGTATTAAACAATAGACATAGCAACCATTCTTTACACCAGATGAATAGACCCATAAAAGCTACAGTCTACGGATCAACTGAATAAGCTAATTTAGCAAATGCCTGTGTGCCTTAACCAGCTGGGGGTATCTCTGTAGCAAGATTTTTTTCTCCTTAAGACATACTTTAAATGAGCCCAAAAGCTAAAAATTAAATTAATTACAACTGAATGTTAAATTATTCTTTAGTGTGTGTGTGTGTGTGTGTGTGTGTGTGTATGTATGTGTGTATGTGTGTAATGACTTAAAGTTGGGAAGCATTTGAGACTAATTGAGCTAGTATTGTTACTGGAGGTGTACTGGAAAAGTCCTTGGCCTCTTAGTGAACGTGATAACACAGAGGATGAGCAAAATTTGACTCAGGACTTATTCTTAAAGATAAAACCATCAAGACCGGTTCTAGGAGCGAGACTGGAAAGGCGTCTTGCTGTTGATATTAAGTCAATTTTATTCATTAAGCTTGATGTATTAAGGCTGCTCTGTCCTTGTTAAGGGGTTGGGTTAGAATGTCTAAATGCTTTCAAGCCAGCACTGAGCCAAGGGAGTGTGCTTGTTCTGACCAGCACTAGAAGCTTCCGGTGTTTTTTTAATACGAGTTTAAAGATACTCTAATGATGACATTCTCCCGGTGCTTGATTTTTCTTTACATTGTTAAAATGCTCAAACACACACAATGCGTCTGCCTCATATAACCACTCAGACTCAGCAACCATGAGTATCTTCCCATTATCTACCCCATTTTCTTCCTTGAGTATAAAGGCGATTTCCAAATGCCATGTCCTTTCATGCCTCCATGCACGCTGCCCCTCTTAAACTGTTGCACCACTGTTAAGTCATGATCCCATTACAGACTAGGACTAAAGGTATGTAATTGCTTACCGTAAAGCCATTTAGCCAGGAATACCTCAGGGAAAGGGCACCCGGGAATGGAGTGAAACGCATCTCCTTCGGAAGCAGTTGTGCCTGTAGAGTTTTCTTTTCCTGGGAAGATTAACTGAAGAAAAGAGAAATAAGGACAATTGAAAAGAAAAAAAGATCACGGTATCTGGAGACTATGACAGATTCCTCACAGCCAAACTGCTCTGTGGTTATTTGTTATTTATTCATATGAGAATAAGCTGTAAGCAAATTACTGGGGTGCATAGTCACACTGGTCCATTCCTAACACCCCGTGCTAGCAGTAAGACCTCAATGGGGACATTCACCGGGACATTTCTTCCACAGTGTCCTTAGACTTCTCATCTTATTGAGGGAATCAATGGCAATTGTTTGACAAGGACATCGCCCAGGATTTTCTGTATTTTCGAAAACTAGAGATCAAATTTTTGGATTTTGGATTGAGTAGCACTTGCTATAGGCAGTAAAAAAAAAAAAAAAAAGGAGCGGCTAACTTGTAAGTTTTTTTCTTATGCTTGTAAAAGAGTGACTTCATTTGAATAACCTCGAAGCAACCAGAGTTCTAATTAAAAGAAACCATCTGACTCTTCAGCCCAGGACACACTATCTTTCATCTAGGCAAGGAAGCATTTTATCAGGTCTGTGGTGACAGCCTTTGGTGGGACTATTGTCATCTTTCCATTGAAACTTGAGTCTAAGGGTCTGTGTCTCAGAAAGCTTACAACTGACACCGCCCTTGAAAAAAATGAAAACATCTTGACCATATATACCTTTTACATGTTCTCCTTCATAAAGTCCATAATGCTAAAAACCTGCCCTGTGTAGTCACATCACCAGAGATGGCAGCCGGCAGCCAGTGGACCAGTTTACAATCTCACGTTGTCCCCTCAGGATTTTGCACAGCGTTAACAGACTTCACATTGCCCTCCTCCAAACAGCAGCACGCACACTCTCTTAATAAACTTATTTGGATCCTGCCTTTCACCTAAACATCTAGGTTTATTAATAGCCTAGCCTTCTCAGTTCTTTATACTAGCACAGACAACATACAACGGTTTCGAGATTGATTTTCTTAGAAAAGTAATTGTAAGCTATACACCAACATTTTAAAATGCAGCTACTTAGGAAAAAAATGTCCAAATAGTATCCCCGCCCCATAATAATCGCGATTCAGAAATCCTACATAGTTCCCTCAGTACTATTAACTACAACTGTGCCTAAATCATTCGCAGTATAACATCGGGCTTAGAGACCCAGATGTACAAACAGGCAAACAAACAAGTTACCCAGGCCAATTGTTTCAAAGACCTACCTGGCCTCTGTTCGGTGATAAAAAGGAGACTCATCACAAAAATAAAAAATACCAAAAAATAGTGCTGAAATCTCATTTTCTTTTTCTTTTTTTCACACACACGTGAACGGTAGCTCTCCAAGGAAAGAAATAATCTGTAAATAGTCTGGGCAGTATCTGTCCAGCTCACCCCGCATCCTACAGACAGACCTCAGAGGGCTGCCAGCTGCTTTTTCCAGAAAAGGTTAATGATCACATCAGACAAGGTTACTGGTGCACTGGGCTGTGGTCAGAGCTCCCAAGCCTCAAGCCCCTCCTCCATTCCTCTCTGCTTCTCCCCTGTCACTCCCCTTTATTTCCATAAGCAAATATTGGTGAAATGGACCATTCAGGCATGCAGTAACTTCAGTGGGAAGTCTCCTCCGCAAAAGCTCCAAGGAGAGGGGCTCCAATTCAATCTGTTTATGAAGAAAGATGTAAAACGAGGCAAGGGCCGGCTCCTCTCCTCTCCATTTGCATCTGTTTAAACTTTGCATTGCCCATATTGGTCCCACATGCAGAAAGCAGTGGAAATGACAGGAAGTTTCTCTTTTGTCCTCTTGCAGAAGGAATGTGGGAGCTCTAACTTGAAGTTTCCAAACGCTTGTTGCCAGTGCTGTGCTGGAGGGCTTTCTCTTTGCCAAACCTACTGCAATGTAGTGCCTATTTGTATTAAATCTCCAAGTGGCTCAATCTCTGTGGGTTTCCATCATCAGAGGCTCCTGGAGCTTAGGATGTTCCGAAGGAGATCTGTGAAATGTTTATCTTTTCATTTAAGTGCAATGTAAAAAGTAATGGAGATCATTTTCATCTACAAACATCTAAGAGTTTTCAGAAGCAGCTCAGGCAAGCCACAGACACAAAATCAGTGCTCCGCTGTAAATTTGTGTGTGGTGGAGTGTCAGGTAACCACAGGCACACAGACCACATTATAGATGGAAAGGAAACTTTCTAGCTCATCTCCAAGGCAGCAAAAGGAGGCCAATTTTGTCTTGCACACTAAGCTCTCCTGTTTATGGGCTTTCTTCCCTGTAATAAAAAGCTGTTATAATTGAGAATTATTGTAATTATTCTAAGCCAGAACATGTACCTATATTATGAAATATAAGGAGACACAAGGCATTGAACCTAAAGCAAATGTGAGTTGTTGTGAATGGTCAGGAATTTTGTTATATTTGGTGTCTTTAGAGTTAGGTGGTGAGCACAGACAACCTTGGGCCTCTTAAGCTTTGAAATTCATGCATAGTTCGATTTGATTTCACAAATCAGTCTGCAAAATCCCATATCTACCTAGTTATGCATTGCAGTTTATAAAGAATGTTTCTTAAAAAATTCTTTTAAACATTTTTAAAAGCCCACTGTGGTGGCACATACCTTTAATCCCAACACTCAGAAGGCACAGGCAGGCAGGTCTCTGTGAGTTCCAGACCAGCTTGGTCTACATACTGAGTTCCAGTAGAGCCCGGGCTATATAGCAGAGAGACCATGTCTTAAAAACAAATAAATAAACCAGGCAGTTGTGGCGCATGCCTTTAATCCCAGCACTGTGGAGGCAGAGGCAGGCGAATCTCTATGAGTGGTCTACTGAGTGAGTTCCAGGACAGTCTCTAAAAGCTACAGAAAAACTCTGTCTCTGAAAACCAAATACATACATACATACATACATACATACATACATACATACATACATATATATATGTATATATATAAAATTTGTTTAGTATGTATGGGTGTTTTGCCTGCATGCATGTCTGTGTACCATGTATGTGCAGTGCTCCCAGAGCCCAGAAGAGGGCATCAGGTCTCTTGGAGCTGGAATTAAGTAGTGAGCTCTGGAATGAACCCAGGTCCTCTGCTAGAGCAAGTACTGCTCTGAATTGCTGAGCCACCTGTCCAGATCTGGTTTATTTATTAATTTTTTAAAAAGAATTTTTAATTCAGGTGTGGTGGGGGACTTACTCCTTTAATCCCAGCACTCAGGAGGCAGAGGAAAGGGGATCTCTGAGTTCGAGGCCAGCCTGGTCCACAGAGTGAGTTCCAGGACAGTCAGGAATACACAGAAAAACCTTGTCTCAAAAAACAAAGTTCTTTGTATGCTGTATGCCTGTGTGTGTGTGTGTGTGTGTGTGAGAGAGAGAGAGAGAGAGAGAGAGAGAGAGAGAGAGAGAGAGAGAGAGAGAGAGAGAGAGAGAGAGAGAGAGAGAGAGAGAGAGAGCCCTGGGAGGCCAGAAGAGGGCGTTGGATCACCTGGAGCTCAAGTAACAGGTAGTTGTGAGGTCCTGACATTTGTGCTGAGAACCCAGTTCAGGTTTCTGGAAGAGTAGAAAATGCTCTTAACTAGTGAACTGACTCTTCAGCCTTAGTACCGTCTTTTTTACAAATGAAATAATGACCTAATCCAGACAGTAAATACTGATTTAAAAATAGTTCCCAGATGTGGTGTCGCTCACTGTTAATCCCAGTCCTTGGGAGACAGGGTGCAGGCAGGTTTCTATGAGTTTGAGGGCTTTCTGATCTACATACGGATGGAGTTCAAGGCCATCTTTGATTACAGAGTGAGATTCTGTTACTACCGGAGAAACTGGGGTTCCCTTTCATGAGTTCTAAGCCTGGTTAATAAAGAGTTTTAGAACAGAATTGAAAGGAAGTCAAGGATACTTTCATTAGACTTTGATGGATAAAAAGGAGAGGGCAGGCAAGATGTAAATCTTGGAAGCTGCCCAGAAGAGGCAGACGAAGAGGAAGAGAGGAAACCATGGCATTTGTGTGCAGCCTCACAGATGGTGATGGAGGTAGCTTCCCAGAAAGAGCAAAAAAGGCCTAGACTATCACAGAGATCATGTGCAGGAAAGGGAAAGTGTTAGAAAGAAAAATAATGGAAGAGGAAAAAGGGAAAGGTAGACTTTTCTGAGTTCGAGACCACAGTGAGCAGCTCAGAACAGTAAATGGTGGTAGTACTACATGACAGCTCTGCTAGCAACTGCAAGGGTAGGGGCTTCTGGGAGGGCTGGCGTCATATCTCACTGAGGGAGTAATTATCCCTCCGGCCTCCTTAGAATAGCTTTAGGTGAATCAGAGGTCCTGGGGGGTAGTCTCTTGGCCTGATGAAGGACAGGCCCAAGGAAGGAGATAGTAGATAAAGTAGATAAAGTTCTAGTCTTGGAGCTGATTGAATGCCATATTACCCAGGGACAGAGGGCAAATTCCATAGTTTTCACCAGGGAAAAATATCTTTCTCTTGGTGGACTTCAGTAAAGTCATGATATAGATCCTCTGTAGCCTCCATGACTGTTGGACACCGCCTCACCAAAACGACCAAGTGGGGCCTGTGAGATGACTTACTTGGAAAGGCACTTGCTGCCAAGCCCGGGAGCCTGGTCTGATCCCTGGGAACCGCAGCATTAAAGTAGAGAATTCTTGAAAGTCATCCTTTTGACACCCAAATTATCCACTGTGGCTATTGTGTGCCCACATATGTACACATAATAAATAAATATATACATGTAAATGTTCATCAAGTAACAGCAAAACTACCTTGCACATGCAGATAAAATAATGGCTCATGTTTCAATGCTGTCATTATTTTGAGACAGGGCATTGCAGAGACTTTGCATCCTCCAGCGTGCAGTGACTGTCAGCTCCTGATTCTCCTATCTCCCTCCTCCGGTGTACTAGGGTTACAGGTGTGAACCACCATGCCTAGCTAAAAAGGTTTGGTGTAGGAAAATACTGAATTTGTGAGATGTTAAACATTTATTTATGTAGTTTAAATAAGTTTTGAAAAAAAATGTGATGCTGGGCAATGATGTTGCACACCATTAATCCCAGCACTTGGGAGGCAGAGGCACCCAGATCTCTGAGTTTGAGGCCAGCCTTATTTATCTACAGAGCGAGTTCCAGGACAGCCAGAGTTACACAGAGAAGACCCTTTCTCAAAAAACCAAAAGGAAAAAAAGAAGAGAAAAAGTTGTCTATCACCACACCTGCTGTCAATGATTATTTTTACAAGTACAATAACAAGTGATTAGAGAGTTGATGGACAACTGAAATGCCAGGCTGAGGAACAATGTCATATGTCGGTGTTTTTGTGAGTGTGAGGCCACAGTCAGTCTTTCATCTTGGCATTGAGTAACCAGGCGTGGAGAAGTCTGGGTGGGAAAGTGGGGACAGACCGATGCATGTGACTCTGCAGAGGCAGTTGTATGAAATGGTGACTCTTGGTCAACCTCCAACAGGTGAGCCCAAAGCACTGCCCCCTGAGCCAGGCACCATGCTAAGCGTATTTCCTATGTTACTTCACTGAAGTATTAAACTCCATCCACTTACTTGATGAAGGAATTGATAGCTAAGGAAGGAGTCCATAGGGTTCCATCCTACAATCTGAGCTTACAATCATTTTTTTGCTCCAGTTTCCTCTTTAAGGTGTAAATCCTAGTTCCTATTTGCAAAGTAGTTTACTGAAGCCAGTGTAAAAATAAGGGCATTTGCTGAGTGTGGTGGGGCATACCTTTAATCCCCGTACTTGGGAGGGAGAGGGAGTTCAAGGCCATTCTCGACTACATAGGAGTTCTGGGCTATTCAGAGCTTCTTGTAGAGCCTGTCTCAAAAAAAAGAAAACAAAGATATCTAAACTGTCTTCTCAATTTTTATCTAAGGATAGCTCCATGCAGTTCTCGCTCTTCATCAGAGAATATCAGAGAAGCTTCCTTAGTAATGACTGTTGCTGAGGGTCCCACCGCCCTTTCAGCCCCAAATAAGCACCAAAATGCTATATTAATCACGAAACTCTGTTGGCAGATGGCTAAGGCTTCTTATTGGCTAGCTCTCTCTTAATTATTAGCCCATAGCTACTAATCTATGTATTTCTACATGGTCCTGTCTTACTGGAGAACACCTGGTGTGTTCTATTTTCCCCGTCTCACATGGCGACTGCTCTCTGTCCACCTTTCCCAGAATTCTCCTCATCTGGTAGCCCTGCCTAGTCTTCCTTCCTGACTACTAATAGTGTTTTATTCATTAACCAATAAGAGAAACATATCCATTGATAGGATATCCCCTATCAATGGACTATGGTTGTTAGTGCCAACACCACTAGTCAAAGGGCAGAGACTAAACTACGGTGTGCTTGACCCTAAATTGGACATGTGTATCACACCCAACCCTAAGACTACGGTACAACAGGACTGGAAAGAATATAAGAGCCAAAGGTTAAGGGAGGGGCTGTAAAATAGGTCATCTGGACATAACATGACGGATGAATAAAAGAACTCAATGCAACTGTGGTTACCCGCACAAGACCTACAAAAGATGGCATCCATCAACATTCATCATGGAGGGGGAAGAGGGACAGGGGAGTTAATGGTGGCTGAGAACTTGCTGAGAGAAAAGGTTTTCATGGGAGGGTGGAAAGGACTAAGATTCATTATATACTTGCATTATAACATCAGAATATTGTTTTCCTTTTTTGGTTTTATTTTTTGTTTTTCTAGACAGGGTTTCTTTGGTAGTCCTAGAACTAGCTTTGTATATCAGGCTGGCCTTGAACTCACAGACATCTGCCTGCCTCTGCCTCCCCAGTTCTGAGATTAAAGGTGTGCACCACAAGTCTGGCTAAAGAGTACTTTTTAAAAAGATACGCTAATGATGAGTTTCTTGAACTAAGTTCAGTAGTCCCTTCAAAATTAATGTCAACCTGGAACTCAGGATGCGGTGGTTTGAATAAGAATGGCCCCCATAGCCTCATGTGTTTGGAAACAGGGAGTGGCACACTATTAGGAGGCGTGGCCTTATAGGAGGAAGTGTGTCACTGTGGCTAGGCTTTGAGGTTTCAGATGCTCAAGCCAAGCCCAGTGTCTGTCTCTTCTTGCTGCCAGCCCGCCAGCTCCTTCTCCAGCATCATGTCTGACTGTGTACCGCCATGCTTCCTGCCATGATGATAATGGACTAAACCTCTGAACCTGTAAGTCAGCCCCAATTAAAAGTTTTTCTTGTACGAGTTGCCATTGTCATGGTGTCTCTTCACAACAATAAAATCCTAGCTAGGGCACAGAGTGTGTCCCTATTTGGAAATGGGGCCATTCCTTGTTTTGGTGGTATTTGGGACTGAACCTGGGACCTTGTACATGTTGGGCAATACCTACCATTTAGCTATATCCCACAGGGGGTCTTTGCTTGTATAATTAACATTAAGGGCATATTATAGTAAGGTGACTCCTAAATCTAATATGATGTCTGTCCTGTAGGAAAAAGAAGATAGTCTGATGTACCAGTGTACGCCTTTAATCCCATCACTTAGGAGGTAGAGGCAAGAAAAATCTTTGAGTTTGAAGCCAGTCTGGCATACATAATGAGTTTCAAGACAGCTAGGGCTACATGGTGAGAGATTTTTTTTTTTTTTTTTTTTTGGTTTTTCGAGACAGGGTTTCTCTATGGCTTTGGAGGCTGTCCTGGAACTCGCTCTGTAGACCAGGCTGTCCTCGAACTCACAGAGATCCGCCTGCCTCTGCCTCCCGAGTGCTGGGATTAAAGGCGTGCGCCACCAACGCCCGGCGGTGGGAGATTTTTGCTGCAGAAAATTCTGTATACTTGAAGAAACAGTTGGAGGGAAAAGAGGAAGACGAGGAGGAGGAGGGGGAAGGGGGAGGGAGAGGGGGAGGAGGAGGAGGAGGAGGAGACAACACTTAATGATAAACAAGGAAAATACCAGGCAGTAGAGGTAAAAATTAAGCTGGGTATATTGGCTCATGCTGCAATCCCAGAACCTGGGAGACAGAGGCAGGACACTCAGGAGTTCAAAACCAGCTACTGCTGCACATCGAGTCAAAGGCCAGCCTGGGCTAAATCAGTCTGTATCTCAGAAACAAAATGTCTGATGACAGTTGAACCTGCTGCCACAAACCAAGACATGAATGCCAAGATGATCAGATACAAGCAGAGTAGGCCCATTGTTTAACATCTGGCCCCCAACCTCCTCAAATCAGTTCTACTGACCTTGATTTTGGACTTTTGGTCTCTTGTACTACAAGCAAATAATAATTTCCATTGTTTTAAGCCACTGAGTTTGTGATACTTTGTTATATCAACCCTAGAATCCAAATAAATTCATTGTATACATATATCCTGTATATCTGTGGAGTCCTTATATAAATTGTTTTTATTCATTTTTAGTTTCTAGATAGGCTCTCACCATGTAGCCCAGGCTAGTCTTGAGCTTGCCATTGTCCTGCCTCGCTCTGTGAATGCTGGGGCCACATATACACTCGACTACATTAACCCAGCTTCTAGTTCATTTAATAAAATACACTTATTTTATGGTGTTATATGGTGCGTGCCAGACCGTGATCTTATCATAGCTTTTAATCTCCATTTTACACAGGAAATAACAAACTCAGAAAATTTAGTGACTTGCCATGAATTGAGTAAGCAAATGCAAAGTCAGCGTGAAGTCTTGGTCCCTCCAGAAGGACCCCTTGGCTTTTCTTTTTTCCAGTTTGCTTACGTCTGCACGAGCACTTGAAGCTGGAGGACAGCTTGGGTGAGTTGGTTCTTTCCTTCCACTTTGTGGGTTCTGGTGTTGAACGTAGGTGGGAAGTGCCCTTATGTCTGAGCACACGCGTGTGTGTGTGTGTGTGTGTGTGTGTGTGTGTGTGCACTGCGTACATGTCTGTGCTGATGTGTTTGGTCATGCCTGTACCTGCGGTGGTCAGAGGTCACTGTCGGGTGTTTTTAATGTCAGGTGTTCAATGAGTATGGTGCATGATGTGTGTGGAGATCAGAAGACATCTGTGAAATTGGCTCTCAGGTTGCTGGGCCTGTACAGCAAGCTCCTTTACCCAGTGACCAGGCCTCTGACTGACCTTAATTTTCTTTTTTATTTATTTAACTTTTTACACATGTTACTCTCAGTTCCCTCTCTCTCCTCTCCTCCCCCAGCTCCCCATTCCTCACAATCCCCCATCCCACTCCATCCCCACTCTGCTCACCAGGGAGGGTAAGGGCTTCCATGAGGGATTATCAGAGTCTGTCATATCATCCTGGGCAGGGCCTAGGTCCTCCCCCATGTGTCCAGGCTGAGAAAGCATCCCTCCATGTGGAGTGGGCTCCCAGAGTCCATTTGTATGCCAGGGATAAATACTGATCTACTCTCCAAGGTCCCATAGATTGCCCAGGCCTCTTCTCTGACACCCAGGGGATGGTGTCTGGATCAGTCCCATGCTGGCCTCTCAGGCATCAGTCTGGGGTCCATGTGCTCCCCCTTGTTTACTGACCTTAATTTTCTACTGACATTCTTGGCTCCCAAATCAGCACTGATGAGGGAGACTAATGCCCAAGCTGCTAGAAGGCAGAGTCAGACAGTAAGAAATGAGTAGCTTTGAAAACTTTGTAACCAAAGCCGGCATTCTCCTTACATAGAGGAAATGGCGAATTAGACATGTTGTAGATATCAAATGTATAAAATTAGAATATTAAGTGTGGTAAAAACATTTACTCAGTACAATACTTGCTCAAAAATTTTCCCAGGATCTTCTTGGGTACGTGTGCCTGTTGAAAAAACATTACTGAACATAAATGCAGCATCAAGTTAATATCTGAGCCAAAACATATATTTTCCCAAGAACCCAAAATGCCAAAAAAGGGACACACTTTTCAGAGGATGACTATCTTCCTAACCCTCATATATCTGGCAAACCTGACAAAAATAATGTGGTCCGTGGGTATAATAGACTCCCAGCTTTGTCCCACACAAAAATAATAGAGTAATACCATATGTGAAACATTCAGGGGGTGATTCACATCCAGCAGCTGAGTTAGCGTGGTCACTGAGATCTTTAGTCACTGTGACACAGTGGCAGCTGGATTAGTGATCTCCACAGGATAGTCTCGGGAGGAACAAATTAGATTAAAAGCCATTCTGTTAGAGCTAGGGAGGTGGCCCACTTGTTAAAGTGCTTGTTGGACAAGCGTGGGGATCTGAGTTCGGGTCCCTAGCACCGGTGTAAAACATTGGGCATAGCAACAGTTGGGGGATTGGAGGCAAACTTCCCTGAGGCTTCCTTGTCATTTTGTTCAAGTTAGAGATTTTCAGACTCTGCCCTGAAAAAAGGAAAGAAAGAGAAAAGAAGTAAAAACAAAACAAAACAAAAAACCGCAACAAGTCCGTGAGTGATTGAAGGAGGTCATCCTCTGGCTTCCACACATGCGCATACGTACATGCTGTGTACATACACATGCAATACACACAGGATGTTGACTAGAAGACAAGCACCACAGTCAGACATACTTGGGTCTCCCCTCGTCCCTCCCGCCTGTAACTGTATTCATGAGCTTATTTTATCAGAAGCAGTCTCAGGAATTTTCATCATAAACCCCAGACACTCCTAGGCAATAATTATCATTAACTGGATAAATTACACATGATATAAACCTCCTAGAAAACTGCTGGAACTCTCCAGTGGCTCTGAGATATGTGGGATTCTTCCTCCTTGTAGAGTCTGGACGTCTGAGAGTTCAGCATCAAGCAGATAACAGAAACACTGTGTGACCCTTAGCTTGGAGGTTTAACTCATAATCAAACATGAAAGTAGTTAGGTGTGACTTAAGCCACGTGACCCTACGGTTTAAACAGCTCTGATTTTCTTGTCCTGGCTTCTGTTACTCAGACATTTGGCTTTAGTCAAAAAAGAAATAAAACCTTTTTTTTTTTTCCAAATCATATCTTCATTTAAAAAGCGAGGCAGGGCAGGAGACAGCTGCGAGGCTGACAACGGTTGCTGTATTTCCAGAGGGCCAGGGTTTGACTCCATGTCAGTAGGCTCACAGCTACCTGTAACTCCAGGGGACCTGATGGGGGGCCTCAGGGGGGCACTCAGACCATGGCAAACATATACACATATACACATATATGCCTACATGCACACACATAACGAAAACATTTAAGAAACTGGATGTAAGTGATGTTATTCTAACTAAAAGTCTGTAAAAATAAAAATTAATTAAAGACTTAAAGGGAAGCATTTTGACTTCAGGTTGATATCTCATAGCTCTATGATTACCCCTTCCCCTTTTTGAGACAAAGTCTTGTGAGATAGGGTCTCACCTTGTGTAGCCCTAGCTGGCCTGGAACTCAATATATAGACTGTTCTGGTTGAGAACTCACAGAGATCTGCCTGCCTCTGCCTCCCAAGCGATTAAAGGCATGGACCACCATATCTTGATAACCTAACTTCTGGTTCCACGTTGAGTGTCTTTGAGGGGCTAGAGAAATGGCTCAGTGGTTAAGAGTACATGGTTCTTCAGAGAACCCGAGTTCAACGTTCCCAACATCCACATCAGGTGACTCACAACCACCAGCTCCAGGGGCATTTGATACTTCTGGCTTCTCAGGGCTCTGCACTCACAAACATAGACTCCCCTACCCCCCCACCCTGCACCCCCCTACAAGCTCAAATACCCGCATATGCATAATTTAAACTCAATCTTTTTTTTTTGCCTTTAAAATAAATCTTGAAAAAAGATATTAGGTGGCAGCATTTTGCTGCCATATTTGTGTGTGTGCTTTACAATTTTATTTTTGCTTTTGAGTCTGTGCATGTGTTGTGCATGTTGTTTAAACAGGCACATCTCTGTGAGTTCCAGGGCAGCCAGGGTTACACAGTGAAACCTGTCTGAAGAAAAATGCAAGGGAAGGATGGAGGAAAAGGAAAGAGAGAGAGAGAGAGAGAGAGAGAGAGAGAGAGAGAGAGAGAGAGAGAGAGAGAGAGAGAGAGAGAGAGAGAGAGAGAGAGAGAGAGCTGGGTTAGGCTCCTACTTTTCTCGTATGTGACTAAACATCCAGTTACTTTAGAAAACAAAGCCAAGTAGAACGTCTTCAGATGGGGCACTGCCTCACCAAGGGGTCATCCAGATTCACAACTGCAGGCGTGTGCTCTGGGCTTTTCTGCCAAAGCTCACCGAAAGCCGAACAACACCTGGGAATTCAGTTCTTTGTAAAAGCCCCTAAGGCAACACATATGGATCTGATTATTTAACTTGCGCAGAGCTGTATTGATAGTTAACGACTCCTCTCTCTCTCTGGTTGGTCTGCTGGGTCTCTGCCTGCAAGCTGAGGGGTGGCTCCTGTCACTGACCATCTGCCGTTTTAGGAAGAAGCTGATCAGTAGAGAGGAGGCAGACAAAGACAGAGACAGGCTAATGTCCCCTGTCTGCAGCGATATATTCATTTGAAAAGGCAAAGTGACTTAACGCTGGAGAGGACCACGGCTGACATTGAGAGAGAAAGACTAGGAAGACAAAGGGAGGGAGTGGTGAAAAGGAGGCTTGGGGTGGAGGAATTTCAAGGGGTTCTTTGTTTGCTTTGGGGGAGGTCTACTTTGCAAATGTAATTTCCACACAACAGGATGGTGCCTGGTCAACAGGAAAGCAGAGGCCAAGCAAAGGCCTCCGAGGAAGCTTGGAGCCAGAGCGATGATCTCCTGGAAACGACTCAGACATGCTGTACATGTTCTCACACCTCATCGCCACAGGCAGAAGGGTGGTAACAGGTTGCTGCTTTCTGCTGAGGCAGGAGAGGGTGTGTTACCTTCTTTCTTAAAAAGAAAACAGAGGTCAACCTTTCTCTTCAGAAATTTCTTCCTTCTCTCCTCCCTCCCTGCCTCCCTGCCTCCCTGCCTCCCTGCCTCCCTGCCTCCCTGCCTCCCTGCCTCCCTGCCTCCCTGCCTCCCTGCCTCCCTGCCTCCCTGCCTCCCTGCCTCCCTGCCTCCCTCCCTCCCTCCTATTTTGGTGTTTGGAGACAGGGTTTCTCTGTGTAGTCCTAGCTGTCCAGGAACTTTCTCTGTAGACCATGCTGGCTTCGAACTTAAGAGATCTGCCAGCTTCTGGCTCAGAGTGCTGGGCTTAAAGGCCTCTGACACCATCCTGACTAAGAGATTCCTAAAGAATCCCATCTGTCTTTCTATAATTGGTTTTCAGTATCATCTCTTTAACACACACACACACACACACACACACACACACACACACACACCCCTCAGGATGTTTTCAGCAAAATATGGGGGAAAGATTATTCCAAAGGAGGTGGTAGCTGTTGTCTCTTGTCTCTTCATTCCCCATGGAGACTGTTTTTTGTTTGTTTGGTTTTTTTGCTTTTGGTAGACTTTCAGTCGTAGCTACTTCTTAATAAAAACTTCTTAGTATATATAACTCTAGACAGAGAAGAAGCCCTAAGTAATACAGGAACCAGAGATCTGTTTGTTTTTAAGAATAAAACAGGTGGGCTGGAGAGATGGCTCAGAGGTTAAGAGCACTGACTGCTCTTCCAGAGGTCCTGAGTTTAATTCCCAGCAACCCCATGGTGGCTCACAACCATCCGTAATGAGATCTGGTGCCCTCTCCTGGCTTGCAGTCATACATAGAGGCAGGATGTTTTGTTCATAATAAATAAATAAAATCTTAAAAAAAGAGAATAAAACAGGTAAGAAAGCTGGGCACTCTGGTGCCCATTAGTTCCAGACATTCTGGAGGCCTGGTCAGAAGAATTGCAATCAGGAGTTATCCACAGTCTGCTGGCAACACAGTGAGTTCTCTCTCTCTCTCTCTCTCTCTCTCTCTCTCTCTCTCTCTCTCTCTCTCTCTCTCTCTCTCTCTCTCTCTCTCTCTCTTTTTGTTTTTATTCTGTTTTGTATCATGGAACTTGCTATGTGGACCAGGATGGCCTCATAGAAATCTGCCTGCCTCTGCCTCTACTCCTGGCCTACTGAAGATACTGTCTCTTAAAAGAAAATGGGGTGGGCAGGAGCTGTATACTTTCTGAGGTGCACTTTGAACCCAAAGCATGCTAGCCATTCTTCCACACGAGCGTCAGCCCCTCTCTGAGGTGCATCGTTCTGTGGAGATGAACAAGGACTTGATTTTACAGTGGACTGAAGCCCGCAATGTCAGGATGTTATCCAACAGATTGTCTTTGTCCTACAACTGTTTAGTTAGTGTGCATTTTTATAGAGAATGGAAGGGCAAAATGGACCCCATGGATTATAAGAACAGGATAAACAAGGCCGTTGAGTAAATGCATCTACATTTAACAGGAGTAGGAGTTTCACTACAGATATCTGAAATTCAGACACTACAAAAATCCTTCCTAGGGGCTGGAGCAATGGCCTTGCACTTAAGAGCACCTGCTGCTCTCAAAGAGGACCTGAATTTGATTCTGAGCACCAACATGGGGGATCCCAACCATCAGGGATCCAGTTCCCTGGGATCCAACGCCTTCTTCTGACCTCTGTGGGCACCAGGTGCACACATAGTACACATGCATCCATGCAAGTAAAACATGCACACATGAAAAATAAATATTTAAAAATTCTTGCCGGGCGGTGGTGGCGCACGCCTTTAATCCCAGCACTCGGGAGGCAGAGGCAGGCGGATCTCTGTGAGTTCGAGGCCAGCCTGGTCTACAAAGTGAGTTCCAGGACAGCCTCCAAAGCCACAGAGAAACCCTGTCTCGAAAAAAAAAAAAACAAAAAAAATTCTTTCCATGATCACAAACTATTTCCTTTATTATATTTTATTGTGTTTAGGTAGTTTTGCTATGCAGCTCAAGCCAACCTTGTGCCTGGTACAGGCCTTCCTGTGTCAGCCTCCTCTACGCTGTGATTACAATTGCCACCATCATTCCCTGGTCCATACATTGTTATTTTGATTATCTTTGTTTTCTTTTATGGTTGTGAGCCTCCATGTGGTTACCGGGAACCAGGAACAAGAGTGATGAGTGCCCTTAACCATTGAGTCATGGCTCCAACCTCACAGGAACTGATGGTTTTTGTTTTTTGTTTTTGCTGAGGGTGGGGATGGGTGTTTTTTTTTTGTTTTGTTTTGTTTTGTTTTTCAAGACCAGGTTTCTCTGTGTAGCCCTGGCTGTCCTCAAACTCATTATGTTGACCAGGCTGGCCTTGAACTCACAGAGCTCCACCTGCCTCTGCCCTCTGGGTGCTAGAATTACAGGGCTGTTCCACCACCTCCCAGCAAGCTATGTTTTAATTTAATATTCCTTGATTGTTGTCTAAATCAACGGAAGAATTAAGCGTGTGATGACTACAGTAAGTTGCCTAATCAGTGAGAACTTCCAGTCGCAACAAAAATTATCTAAGCGATTTTCTTTTACATTGGAGTATATGAACCATAGATTTTTGTTTGTTAGTTTTTGTCTATTTGAGACAGGATCTCACGTAGCCCAGGCTGGCCTGGACCTCCTGATCTCTGGCTGGTGAGATGGTTCATTGGGTGTGGAGCTCCCTACTAAGTCTGATAACCTGAGTTCATTTTCCAGGTGCCGAGAAGCAGACAGAGAGAATAGATGCCAATCTCCATTTGTACCTGCACAGCCTACACATACAACACACACTCAAGAGCGAATAAACAAATGGAATTAAAAAAATAATAACTCCTGATCTTCCTGCCTGAAACTCTCAAACCCTGGGGTCACAGACATATGCCACCATGCCTAGATCAAGCCATACATCTTTCTGGACTCCACAATTAAAGTAATGATTACCTTTTTTGGGCTACTGTTATAAATATTTTGGAGTATTCTTTCTTTCCTTCCTTCCTTCAAATATGTCTTCATTTTCATGCTGCCCCTGTCTCCTAATGAATGTTCCCCTGCCTGTGTTCTGATGGTTGTGTTGCCTCCTGCTCTGTTATTTTGTATGGAGGGACACCTGGCATAAGAGTGAGAATCCAGCTACGTTTTGTCCTATAACAAACAGCCTTAGGACACTGTGCCAAATCTGGTCATGGTGGCTCATGCCTTTAATCCCAGAGCGAGAAGGGAAGAGGCAGGCTAATCTCTGAGTTCCAGGCTAGCCTGTGCACCATGGTAAGACTTGTCTCGAACAAGCAAGTAGACAAACAATAAATACAGCACAGTTAATGGTTTCCAGCTTTCACTTCAACTTCTTGTTAGTTTTCACTTGTGCAGAGATGAAAGTTGTGAAATAAACTTGTGTCACTAAACAGGAGTCTACTGGGCTCATCCAACTCTCCATTGTATTATTCAGCTGGAAAGCTGTTTCTGGTCTTCTTTGTATGTGATCTGAAACAAATATAAATGCCGGGGCCCAATCAGGGCTTTATACATACTGGAAAATCACTTCCCACACGGAATAAGATGTTGTCTCATTTCTTCTTTTCCTTTTTACTTCTCATTTGTTCTTTAGTTTGATATAGGGTCTCATGTAACCTAGGCAGGCTGCAAGTTTGCTCTTTGCATTGCCTAGGGACTCCTGATTCTCCTGCTTCCACTTAGTGGGTATTGGAATTAGAGGCATGTACCCCTATACCTGGTTTAAATATTTAAAAATAATTTTTACATTTTATTCTAAAAATAGATTACAAAGAATAAATTTTATAATGACATTTTACATATACGTACCATTGTAGGATAAAACATTTTGAGGCAGACTTGGCCATTGTCACACAGTGGACAACAAAAATATTAAGAACATAGCACATCATTTTGTACTTCTCTTAGCTACGGAAATCCTTATGAAGGCTACTGATGCTCAGTGTCTTAGTTAGGGTGACTATTGCTGTGATACAACACCCTGACCAAAAGCAGCTTGGGGAGAAAAGTGTTTGCTTCACTCATAATTCCAGCCATAGTTCATGATGATAAGCATGCGGGCAGGAACTCAGGCGGGGTGGGACCCTGGAGGCAGGAGCTGACGCAGAGGCCGTGGAGGGATGCTGCTTACTGTCTTGCTTGTGGCTTGTTCAGCCTGCTTCTTATAGAACCCAGGACCAGTCCCAGATCAATCACTAAGAAAATGCCATACAGGCCTGCCTGCAGCCTGGTTTTCTGGAGGTATTTTCTCAGTTGACACTCCCTCATCTCAGATGACTCAAGCTTGTATCACGTTGACACAAAAGTAGCCAGCAAAGCGAACTTAATTAAATGTATTGCATTTCATGGTTTTGCATCACCCAAACAAATTTAGTCATCTATTCATTTTATTTTGTTTTTTTACCCCTGTGAACAAGCGGGCCTTAATGATGACTCTGAAAGCACCTAGTTACCAATAACTTTAATCAATTAAAGAGAGCCATGGAACCACCTGTGCTTTCCCAGACGACGCTACCCCACCCCCATCAAGTGGAGCTATTCTTGCGGTGGAAGACTTCGTGCCCCATGACTACTCTTTAAAAGGCAGCACATCCCTGCCTTGGAATGTGGATAATAATAGATTTTCCCCCAAGTGGCTGATGTATCTCTATTGCTTTGTTCATGGCATATTTGCAGCCTGGCCACTAAATCAAGATGCTCTGGGTCCCTGTGAGAAGGCTGCTATTTATTTTCCAGTGGAAATCAGGTCACAATGGAGCACTGGAGTCTCCACCTCCTCCAACTATCGGCAGCAGCTGGTCCCAGGCGATGCCACAATCGGCCAGATGCTGGGACGCCCAAGTAGTATAGAAAAAAGTCTCTCTCGAGTCATTTACGATGACATGTTGTGTATGCAGCCGGAAACGCCATCCTTGTGTTTCACATGGGAATGGAATTTGCCTTTTTTGAGAAGAATTTCCCCGTTTCTCTTTCCCGCCTCCTTTTTTCATTGATTTTTAATTCTTGGCCATCCCACTTCATCTCAGTAAAGACAGTATAATGTAGTGATTATGAGCCCCCAAATCTGTAATCAGGAAGGTCTGGGTGTAATCAGGAAGGTCTGCCTCATTAATTAAGTTTCGCGTGTGTGAGTGGGCATGCAGTGCGGCGGGAGAGGGCGGGGGGATAAATGGGTACATTGGACACAGAATGCTAAGTGCTGGGACCCGTGAGCTGAATGCTTGCTTTGTTTCTCACTGGTACATCTATGACATGTTGAATTCAGACTCAAGGCCTGGGGGAGCACCCGCCTCAAACGCTCAAGGTCCTAAACTCAATCCCTAGCTCTGGGAGAAAAGGCTGAGGCTGGTGAGACGCTCAGCCGCTAAGAGAGCATTGTGTTCTTCCAGAGGACCTGAGTTCGGTTCCTAGCACCCTGACTCACAGCTGTTTGGAATTCGGGGTCTGGAGGACTTGATGTTCCTTCGTGGCCTCCTCAGGTGCCTGGACTCTCGTGCACAACCCCCACACAGTCATGGACACACATAAGTAAAAATAATGAAAATGAATCTTTAAAAATGTTAATATTGACCAGGTGGTGGAGGCATAGCCCTTTAATCCCTGTACTTGGGAGGCAGAGGCAGGTGGATCTCTGTGAGTTCAAAGCCAGCCTGGTCTATAAGAGTGAGTTCCAGGACTATTTTATTATATAAAAATAGTTATATATACAATATATAAAAAATATATACATTAAAATGAAAATTGAGACAATGGCTGACTGGTGATCTATTCAACATGAGTGGGATTTTTAAAAAATTAGTTGGTGTGTGTGTGTGTGTGTGTGTGTGTGTGTGTGTGTGCCATAGTGCTGCTATAGAGGTCAGAAGACAATTGGCACGAGTCAGTTTTCTCCTTCTACCAGGCGAACCCCAGGGATCGAACTCAGGTTATCAGGCTTTGTGGTAACTGCCTTTACCTGCTGACTATTTTGCCAGCACCTGTAACTCTTGTCTTGCGGAATACATAATTTCTTCAGTCTTTCTAACATGGTTTTCAGTCTTATTCCCTACTTCTTGATTTATGGGCCCTGGTGTAAGGTGCGGGGAGAGAGAAGTTTGTTGACTATAAGATGGCTTAACAGAATGGTTGATTTGGGGGCGGGGTTTGAGACAGCTTTGGAGCCTATCCTGGAACTCACAGAGATCCACCTGCCTCTGCCTCCTGAGTGCTGGGTTTAAAGGCGTGCACCACCACCGCCCAGTGAATGGATGATTTTTTATTTGATGGCCATGAAGACAGAATCATAAACTGATTTTGTTAACTTTTTTTCAGGATTTTTGGTGTCTTTAACAGACTCCATACTTTGTAAAGATGAACTAGATACCATTGTGTGTGTAGAGATCTGAAATGAAAGCATAGGAGCTCAGCTTAGCTTTTGGAAAGTCTGCGGGGACTTCTCTCTTCTCCATCCTCTGCTCCCAGGAGCACCCAGGTTCTCTGGTTCCCTCTGGTAGTGGCGGGTGATTATGTCTACCTTCTCCATCTAGCAAGGGCTTGACTGGCAAAAGCAGACGCAGAGTCTCACTTCCTACACTTGTCATTGATACAAGATAGCATATATATTAATATATTTAATATATATTAAATTCTGTGCTTTTTTGGGTTGCTATTGTTAGAGTGGTAAAATACAGAGAGATTCCATCTGTATGATGAGACTTTAAAAGACATTTAGTTTATTTGGGGTGTGTGTGTGTGTGTGTGTGTGTGTGTGTGTGTGTGTGTGTGTGTGTGTGTGTGTGTAGAGGTCAGAAAAAGGATTGGGTCCCTTCCTTGGAGCTGGAGTTATAGGCACCTGTAAGCCACTATTATGAGAGCTGTGAACAAAAGTCAGGTCCCCGGGAAGTGCCTAAAGTATTCTTAACTGCTGAGCCACCTCTCCAGCACTTGTTATTGGCTTCAGACAGGATGTTACTACATAGCCCAGGCTGCCCTTGAACTGGTGGTCTTCCTGGCTCAGATCCTGAGTGCTGGGATTCCAGATGTACACCACCTCTTTGAAGCCTGAATGTGAGTCTTTATTTGCTTAGTTGGTGCCTAAGATAGCATCTCATACAGCCCAGTTTTGCCTAGAACTTGTATGTGGTCAAGGAGAGTCTTGAACTCCCAATTCTCCTATTTGTATTTCTTGAGTGTCTAGATCACTGGTGTTTCCCAGCATGCCTGGCTTTGAATTTGAGTTTCCCATAAAAAGACACATGGCAGAATGTAAGAGAAAACATCTCCCTGTATCAGTTGTGTTCTCCCTGATTGGCTAGAGGGACAAAAGGCAGTTGGGGACTTCTGTGTCCTCCCCCCATGCTACCAAACCTCCTGCATCCAGGGAGTTGCTGATGAGATAAATTCCAGGGTACAGAACCCGACACTTTTCATTATAATGGCTTTCAGGCCCATTACTGGTAATAATTTAAAATTGCCTGAATTCATGGCTGAAGGGACATGCTTCTGCTTTTCATTAAGTGTTACTGAACAGGTGCTGGGCTCTGCACGGCCTTTAATGCTGGCAGCCTCTGCTAAGCCACATTTAAAAATAAAATACTGAAATCTCTCCCTAGCTTCAATACCCACATTAGTGTGAGAGTTCAAATTTTAGGATTTGTATATGTCATCCCTTGGCTTGTATTTGAAAGACAAAATTCTCCTCTTGATGGTTGGGAAAATTACAAATTTGTCTTTATATGTGTTGCCCAGCGTTCTGGAAGCCATGTCTGTTTTTCTTTTAAAGCATCCTAAGCCGGACAGAAGGGAAGGCTGCTCTGCCAGGGATGTTTGAAGTCGATGAATTTGTGCCTAGGAGATGGGAGGCAATTACAAGACAAATGAGTCGCATATCCGGTGGGTTCATGGAGGGTTAAACTAAATATTTCAAGCTGCTATTCAGTCTGTTTACTTATGTTTATATGAGGTTAACAACTTCCACAACAGCCTTTTGGGCAGTTGTTCCCAGGTGTCTTCTGTTTAGCTGTCGAGTTCATTTGAATTACTTTATGAGGAATATTTTGAGTAGAGGGAGTCAAGGGAGGACTGGAAGACTTGGGCTTCTCATGCTCTACAGAGAATTCCTTGTCTCCTCACCACAGTGGCAGTGATGCAAAATGGAGGTGATAATTAGGGTGTTGTGGACAAACACAAGGTATTGTGATTGTGTGTGCACAAGCATATGTGTGTGGGATTTCTACAGACTCATACAAGCATGTCAACAAGTTGTAGCATGGTGAAGTGAGTCAGCAAAAATAGATCTCTTAGGATTTGGAGAGCTAAGGATGTGGAGGTCCAAGGACAAAGGGTATTGGTTCTCACTTCCACCCTGTTTAGAGATGGTCTCTGCTTTTTTGCTTAGTCATTAATGGGTTTC